CCTTCTGATCAAGAAACAAGATTCTCATCCTTCTCTCACCCCAGTGACCATCTAAGGCCACTGCAATAACTGACTAAATAAGAATTTATCTAAGAGTTATACATCAGTTTACAGATCTAATTTACTATAGGAACATATGGTATTTATCTTTTGACAAGCCAAGGGAAGAGCTAGCCAAACCCAACAGTTTTTCATGTGAGCAAGGGACTAAAAAATCAGAATCCAACTGAATATAAACAAGAATAAGTCAAATAAATAAACAGCAGAAACAAAAATACTTATATCAAACTCACAATATCTGACTGCTACAAAAGGCTCCTAATATGAGTTATGTATATTATAAATACACATATACATATTTTATTTTAAATGGAGCTCATAGGACTTCTATTGAATTGTATGAAATAGTCACAGTGGCACCTCCGACTTATATAGTATAGGCAAAACTCTATAATTCAAAGAAAACCAGGCAAGTAACCTGGAATGAGGTAGTATTACAGCTTTGTTTTGAATGTAATGAAATGTAATGAAATGTAATGAAAGCTATCTAAGTTCTCCAACTAAACAGAAAATTGGAAAGTTCACTAATATTTGAAAAACTTGTTGCTGCTCTTTTAAGACCTCCAGGGACATCTGCAAAAATAAATTATTCCAGGCAAGTTGTGGAACTTAGGTAGTTTTTAAAAGAAATGAGACTTAAGAGCATACATTGAGCAAGGAAAGTATCAATAGCAAAAAAGGATAGTGGCATTGCATGTTTTCTTCAGTCCTGGGAAAGAAAAAAAATGCAAATAAGCAATTAGAGACTGATTCATAATGTACCTCCAACAGCATGCTGTTTGTAATCCCTAAATTCATACGACTTGGCAGCTTTGCATCCCTTAGCACATTCTTATTATATATATAAATCTAGCATATAAATATTAACTCTGCATTGCAAAATGTTTGTTAATTACTGGCCTTTTACAAGGGCAAAATTGTCAACTATAAGCAACAGTGCACCCCTCAGAAAGGCTAGCTCTTATTACCAAGAAACTTGCTAACAGCAACCTGAACATAGTGTAGAGGCTCCTAACTTTGCCAAATAATTTCAATACTTAAACCTGCAAGTAAAGTCTTTTGCTTGAAGCAGCAAGGATTATTTCAACTGCTAGAGATCAATTCTGCTGGCCTTGCACTTATCCCATGTGTTTGCCCTTTCTGTCATGCCATCTTTGTGTTTTTCTTCCTTTTGCTTTTTCCCAAGACATGCTAGAGGTCAGATTGATGTAGATAATTTGTGGGAGCATGAGACTGGTTCATTCCTATCTCTTCACAGTATTTGCTGCTGATTCACCCACCTAGAGTTTTTTAATATGTACAAGCCCAGTGTAGTGGTTTTTGTTAGTTAATTTGAGTTTTCTCACTTAATGCACTAAGGAGTGTGGTGGGTTCAGTGCTGGCTAATCACCAGTACACTCACTTACTGTTGTGAGGTAGGATAAGGAGAAAGGCAAAGTAGGCTCAAAACTTTAACAGGGTATAAAGAAAGATTTATTAACATAACTAAAGAAAGAGTAATAGGAATCAGAACAAAACTTTCAGAATGCTTCTCTTCCTCCCACAACCTTTACTTTCCCACAATGTAAATGAAACAAATGACAATGTAAAGAAACAAAACCTAAAATTTTAGCCAGATTAGTACTTCTAGAATAGTCTTTCTTCAGCTCACTTAGGGAGAGAAGTCCTTCTTGTTAATGTTGAGGAGACTTCTCCACAAGAAAAAAAAAAACATTTCTCTTGTGGCTCTCAATTTCCTCACAAATAGTAGCCGCCTAGGGAAGTCTGCAATTGTGAAGTCCTTCCTATTTTCTACAAGCTTTTCCCACAGCTGTGTTTATGGGCCATGTCAGTTTATGGGGTACTGTTTTAAAGATGAGCTTTAAAGAGGCAAAAGTTCTCATTATCTATCTCTAAAATCATCTTTATCTCTGGAAACAGAGATTTTCTTCTTTTTCTTTTCCTGGGGGCACAGGACCACTCTTGTCTCCTTCTCTGTTCAAATTTCTCACAGGATTATAGCTACTCTAACATCTGCTTACTTTAGCATGGAGGCCTTTCCTTGATAACAAATTGAACCCTCTATCTCCTCATGGTGTTCATGTGTTACAAGGAAACAGAATCTTTTCTCTACAGCTCTACAAGAGGATTTTACCTTATTATCTTATTACCTTATTACCTTATTACCTATTCCCAGACCAGAAAGAAAAGAAAGCATTCCTGGAATTTTTCATCTTTAACATATGTTTTTCACAGAATTGTATACAGCTTCCCAGTAGTTCTACAGACTATCAATTACACAGAAGTTTTTACATCATAAAACTTCTATAAATGCCTCTGATACAAAACGACCACACCCAGAAAGGCTGGTTGCTCCTCCAATCCACAAACTTTGGTGCCGTACTGCACCAAATGGCTCCCAGGGAACAAAGGCTGTCCTACCCAGGAACAGCTAGATGCTGTAACACCTGCCACCAGCTACCACCCTCCATCCCTGGACCTATGATTTGTGCCTCTTGTACCATGTGGGAGCCCCAGCTTCTGCAACCCCCAGAACAGGGCTGGGTGTCTGCCAGGGGCTGCCTCCTGGGGAGAAAAGCAGTAGAGAAGCTGCATAAAGTGCCTTGTCCAAACAGCTGGAGAAGGAATCTATCTACAGGTTTATGTGTTCTCCTGGCTGGCAGTGGGAAATGAGGACCATGAAGCCCCATATTAGCCTGCTCACCTTTATTTCCATGCCATAGGTGGAAAGTGCCTGTCTCCATCCAGAGAAAAAGATACTCCCACAAGCAAAGTAAGTAAAGAACCTGCTTGAGCCCCTCAGGGGTGGTGTGGCGTGGCATGAATGGGACATGAGGGAGCTCTCTGTACCACCAAAGAGGCAGCTGGCAGGCAGAGCCTTGGGCAGCAGCCATAGCAAGACATTTTGCATCCCAGTGGAGGGAAAACTCCTTACATTCAGTGAGGAATATACCTGCCCTCTGATGTCCTGCTGTGCTGGATTACTCAGGGGCTCTTTGGCCTTTTTTGTTTCCAGAGAGGGCAGCAGGAGTGGGCAGCCATCCCCGCCAGCTACTGAGCCCCAGGTGCCTCAGCCACTGCCTTGCAGCTGCCTCCTGCATTGTAGGCCCTTGTCAGTCACTGCCAGACCCACAGGCCTGCAAGCGCAGTGGGAGAACTTCTGCTGTGCCCCTGCTTCTTCCCCTGCAAAGGAGGTGGAGGCTGCTGAAGCTAGTGGGCTGCCAGTACAGCACAGCATAGCCTACATCTGCTCACATGCCAGAGCCCATTCCCCATACACAAGCACCACCTAGGATTTTCTCTGAACAGAAGTTAGTATGAGGTGTTCTCCTAACAAAATAGTTTCTTCATATTGAATATACAAATAGGAAAGACTCTATGATAGCCAGGATCACATGTGCTCGTGTGAAGCAGGAGGTCTTGGTTTAGATTCAGGCTGCTGCCTTTTCCCTCTTGTGGGTAAAGCCATTCATGTAGTAAAGGTATAATACTTTTACCAGTTTCACAAGTTGCCGTATTAGCAAAAGTCCTCTTCTTGTTAATCATCCACATTGGCAATTTCATAGTGGTAGCAGTTAAGTAGTAGTAGTAGTTAAGGCAGCACAATAATGTTTGAAAACACATAAATTCTCTAAGATGACAGCTTTAATGTAATGTTAAGAGTCTGACGTCTTTCCTTTCAGGTTGCAAAATAGTAGGCTTAAAAAGCCCTGTTATCTTAAGCAAAAGTGAAAGTTCAGCTCTGGAATTTTACAGAAGTAACGTGTTCAATCCGCCTCATATTATGAATCAGCCAGACTGACAAAGACAAGGTTAGGAGAAAGCAGGATGTAAAATGATAGACCTCTGCCACTTAGATTTTTATGGGACAGAGAGACAAATTTCCAAAAAAGCTGCAGACTTCCAAACCTGTGCACACAGACACCCAGTGCATGTGGCACATCAGGCAGTGCCTCTGTGCCCCAGTACCCAGACAGTGATCCCAGGCAGAATTAAGGCTGCATGGATCATAAAGCTAAAACACAGTCAGAAAGCAAGCTTTCATTTCTAAGACAGACACGTAAAACTGATTTCAGTTAATCAAATGAAACAAAAACAAAACAAAAAGAAAAACAAGAAGATTGCACATCTAGGTTTAATTCAGCCAGTGAGCAGTGTTGTGTGACACAACTGTGTATAAACTAGAAACAAGATAAATCTCAAAAAGCCATCAGATTTATTTAGTTCTCAGAGGTTCAACCCTTTTGCCTACTATTGTCACACAAGTTTATGCTTCTGCACAGCCTGTGTTCAGTCTGTGACTGAGTAAATTCTGTGCTGATGAAAATCTTTGTCTAGTGTTGCTACACCAGAGAAGGACAATCACATGTGTTTTCTTCCTCTTTCCTCAGCACAGACCTGCAGCTATCCACCGGAGACCATCAAGGTAAAGAATAAAACTGATTTTCCCTCCCTCCAACCTCACTCTCTGGGGCAACTGGGTCCAAAACATCCATATATTAGAAATCCAAAGTGTTCGTCATGTTCCTGCAGAAGAAAGAAAAGCCCATAATCAGACAGTTTGCTTAGGATGGAGAAGAACACCAGTTAAAGCCTAGGTACAAAATAAGTGTATGTACAAAAAGCTGAGATGCAGCCCCACTCTTGAGCAGCCAGTGGCCAAACAGACTGCAGTACACACTCATAATTTCTGAGGCTGAGTGTAATGTTGTCTGGCCCAAATCAGACAATTCAGGAGTCTGAACCTTGTGATGTTGTCTCAGTGAATGTCCTAAACCACTGCACAACTTACGGCTGTAGAGGTTCTTCTCTCTCCTTCTCCTTCCGTTCTCTACTCAGCTTTTTGGTAGCCAGTCTCTTGACTACTGGCATGTTTCCTGAAACAGTTTCAGTTTCGTCATGACATTTTCTAAAAGTCATTTAAATGAATTATTGCCAACCAGGTTCAGTAATAAAGAAATTTTCGGCTGAAAAACAAAGGGAGAATTAATACTTTGAGGCTTAAAAGATTTTGGTTAATATTTGCACTATAAAAAATGGCAGATGTATCAACAAATGGCCAAGCCTCTGTTGGAAAAGAATAAGGTTTCCCCTTCCAGTGTCTCACGGCGTCTAGAAGGAAAAAAAAAAAGAAAAAAAACAACTCCACAAAACCAAACATGCCCTTTTAGACTGCACATTTAGTTTCTGATAAATAACAATGGAGTAAATGGTTGCATTGCAATGCAGGAAGGACTGGTAATATAAATAGGCTGACTGTTCATTTTACCTCCCTGTTTTGGGGTTAGATTTAGGAGTTCTGGCATGCACTTCAGAGTAATTTAAGAGGTAACTCTATAACTTGGTGTCTGCCCTGCTTCTCTACCCAAATTAATCATCCTGGAAGGCAGGGTTGGGGATCAGTTATTTCTCATCTGTTGCACTTCACAGTCCAGTGTGTTGTTTGTGGCTGTTTGTGTGTATTAATATGCTGAGCTCAGAGAGGCAGGAGCTGAGTATCTGTGGTTTGCTGCCTCTGCTTTATAAACAGTGCATTTTAGCAGAGAGTAAATGAAATTGCCTCTTGAGTCCCTGATGACAATCAATCACCAGAAACCCTATGTACTGCAGAATGAAGTGCTGCCATTTAGCAGCCTGAGTTGGTTTGGTTTGGTTTCATTTTTGTTTTTTGGGGTTTTTTTTGGGGTTTTTTTTCTAACCAAGATTACATCATTAAAGCAAAAGTTGGTGCCCAGCAGATAAGTGGGTGTTTAGCAGAAAATTTTGAAGAAAGTGGGCAAGATGACAGAAAAGGGTGTGATGAAGTGTACTCATCATTTGTACCTGTGAGTGTGGGATTGACTGTGGGGGAAGAGGAGGGGGTGGAACTTTAATGGGGAACCTGCCAAGTAACTGTCTGGTTTTGAGAGTTTTTGGTGTCCCAAGGAAAAGCCACAGAACATGGTTTGAAAACAGTGTTTGCAGGGATGTTAGTGCAACAGGAAAGATGCCCCTTCTGAGTGTTAAACTTGGCCTGTGAATAATGGAAGTTTTCACATTTGCTCCATTGGTGTGTGGGATAAATCACTCCACCTCTGCACTTCAGCCTCGCTACTGATAAGAGAAGGCTGCTTATAACAGCCTTTCAAAACATGATGACTGGAAGGACTCTGGAAAATGTAACTCAGAGCAAGTCTTGGTTAAGCCTATGTGTTTGAAGGGACAAGAGATGCTCCAGACTTCACTCAATGGATTGAGAGCTGCTCACTCATGAAAATAAAGAGCCTACCTGTTCTCATTTCACAGGTAGATTAAGAGAAATACTGCTGTCCTTCCATCTTTGCAATCATGACCTGGGGAGGAGACAGCCATGCACTCAATGATAAGCAAGTATATGCTGATGGTTCTGCTCCTTAAAATTTCTGGAATTTTTACATCTCGAAACTTTATAAAGCCTCAAATCAGAATTTATTTTCACTGAAGTGTTCTCATGATCAGGAGATCTTCCATGCAAAGTAGAATCTAAACAGACAATACGATTTGCATAAACTTGGAAAATTCAAGGAAAATTCTGCAGGAATTTTGTTTTAACATTGTCCTTCTTCTAGGCTTGAAAAAGAAAAGCTGACCCTTTAACCCATGAAACAGAGACCTTTGTTTCACTTACAGAGTGTGGAAGGTAACTACAAATGTCACCACAAACCCAGCAACACTCACTCAAAATACTGCCACTACTGCAGACAACAGAGGATAGCACTATAAAGCCAGTAGTTAATCACTGGCTTCAGTACCTAGTGCACTCAAATCAAGAAAATAAGGGCAAACAAATTTTTAACTTCTGGCTCCAAGTACCTAATCAGTGCACACTGGCCCTTTAGATTTAATGAGTCATCCTGCTAACTATTTAATGCACAATCACCCACAACCCATTAGCAAACACCTTCAGGAGGCAAAAGGAGGGACAAGTCTAAACAGAGTTGGGAAGGCATTTGCCCACACAATCTTACCTCCTCCTTCACTAATGGCTTTTCTTTTTCTTCCCTCTGTTCTCAAGGACAACATCAGGTGGGGGCTGCTGGGGAAGGGATTAGTCCTCACTTCATCTCTGGAGAGGCCAGGGCCCCTTCCAGGACAGTGCATCTCCTGGACAGCCACACACACACATGCACTTGGGGTCTTAATTGCCTCCCAGACCCTACAGTCTCTCTGGCAGCTTGCTGTAACTCCTGTCCCTCCCTTTCTTCCTCTGTTTTCTTATGCTTTTTATTCTGCAAGTCACCCTAACTTACCTTCCTTCAGTTCCTTCCCTAAACACCCCATATTAAGTCTTTTTCGAATCCCAAATGCTTTCCCTTCACATGCATCAATAAAATGTTCCATGAAACTCTCCCTTCTTGCCCATCAGCTCCCATTCCCTGCTTGGGTAGATGTCACAGAGATGATATGCCACAGGGATGATTTCTCCCGGGACAGCCCTGGGGGGAGCCAGAGCTCGGGCTGATGCAGGCTGCCCGGCTCCATTGGCGCTGCTCTGCTCCCTCATGTGGTGATGAGCTTCCACCATGTCAGCACCAGGGCCGTGGGTTGTTGAGCTCTCCAGGTGTGCAGCCACAGCCCAGACAGCTGGGAAATGACTGTAGATTTACAAACCTAACACTGAGTGTATTAGTCAACAGGCTATACCAGACTTGCTCACGTCTCCAAACTTCTTCAGGTTATAACCATACTGAAGCCTTGCTCTTTCTATCTTACCTCTTTTGCCCCTCAGGAGCACATTGCCAAAAAAGATTCTAAGAATTCCAGTGAACTGTGGTACTCAACTGTCAGCCATGATGTAAAACACAAAATCTCTGTGATTGACAGCAATTACCAGACAGAATATGCACTTACCAGTGTGCCCGAGGGGAAGGCAAATGTCACCAACCCTTTTAAGTTACCAGGACATCATCATATTCACTAGGCGGTGAATATGATGATGTCCTGGTAACTTAAAAGGTATTCTTTTGCCTGAGTGTGTGCAGACATAATGACCATCCCTCTGCTGTTGGGTCTTCAAACAAATACCTCTCTTGTTACCAAGCTTACTCATTAGGCTACATCTACCAGTCATTAACTGTGAGACAAACCTGTCCATGAACAGCTGATCAGAGAAAGAAACCTGGACTGGGTACAGAACTTGACAATTAAACCAGGAGGAATCAGTAGCAACTGCCGTAATTCATAAAGTTAGAGGGTTTTTAGGAAATGGTTAAAAAAAAATAGGCTTCAGACAGAACTTTTGTTAGCATTGCAGATACAGCAAAAAAGTTTTCTAAGCAGTAGAGCATATGTGACAAATAACAATAGGCTTCTGTAGAACTGGCTTATGGATTGCAACAAAGTTATTTAATGTATATCTTTAGAAGGTTAGCATGAATAGAGCTCTGTTCTTTGTCTCTTATGAACCAGTCTTTGTTTTAACCACCATTACTTGTGTTTTACATGATTAGATAGAATGCTTGTCAATATGTGTTGCTCTATGTATTATTGGCTGAACTCTAGGCTGAGACAATTTTATGCTATGCTGTAATGCTACACCTCCTTAGCATTCCCTGTAGATCAGCGAGCTGTTAACATCCTGTCTCCATTGTCTAACAATGTGCTGAGACTGATGTGCTAAAAAAAAAAAAAAAAAAAAAAGCTCATGTCACTAGTCCAGATGTCCTGTCCTGTCTGTAGCTGTATATAGTTGCCAGTGGCAAGTGATCCTCTATAAGCGTGGCATTGACAGCAACTGCCATCATAGGACAATGTTCCTCCATAGAAAATTAGGAGCTACAATATTTTAAGCAACCAAGGCTGTACATTTTTCTGGACTTTTAGAATACTTATTTTTTTAAAGGGGCTTTAAAGAACTGCTGCTATAAATCTCAAAAATGCAATAATAACAGGGTCTTTCTGTTTGGAGGATGTTTCATGTTTTAAATGAAAGCATAAGATGCACTTACTCTTGTCCAAAATTTCTCTGACATGCTTGATTTGTACCATTATACAATGCATAATTTTTATTTTAAAAGAACTTATTTCTCAAATTCCCCCCTCCCCTTCTAATGTAGTACTACTTAGCATGAAGCATTAAAGTTGGAATTAAATAAAAAGCCCGAAAATAATAAAATCCATGCTAAACAAATATTACACCCATGAGAAAACTGTTGATACTGATGCTGATAATTACCTCTCAGTGGCAGAAGTCCAGGTGCTGCTTCTGTGACACAATGCTTCCACAGCTCGCTCCTGCTGGAGTCTCCAGTTTGGCCTTCTGCAATGCTAGAGTACCACCTCCTCACAGCCCAGCACCCCCTCTGCAAGCAGTCTGGACATATGCAAAGGACTAAAGCCAGGTATTCAGCTGTTTACCAGAGCTCACGAAGTGATTATGTCCCTGCATTCTTGCTTAAGCATGTTTTTCCGCTCCCTCCTTATTTGTAACAAAACAGTATGGAAGAAAATGTCGAACAGTTTTAAATCTTCCTTTGTATGTGATTGCTGGCTGCAGCCCTGGCTTTATGGTGCAGTGCCTTTGTGACTTCCACCTGCCATACATTACATTATTACATTTCCACCTGCCATGCTGGGGATAGTCCCATGGGCAAGCGCACGGAGCACTGGATGGACACACTACAGCATGTGCAGGTGTCACTGCTGTGGCAGGCAGCTGAGTCTGCCCAAAACTCATACTGGCTGCTGTAGGCACACAAATAACACCTGACATAGAATTTTAAAGGGCTGATTGTACACTACACAAGCTGCTTTTTAACAATATCTCAGTTGTCCAAGTCATTAAAATGTTATCCTCATTCCTTCTATTAAAATTAATATCGATCATTCATACAATATATTGTGGTGTAATAATGTGCTTTTAAATTATTTTTTAATTATTACTTGATGTAATAATGCATTTTCACACTGCTGTGTCTCTAATGAGAGATATATAACCAGAAACTACTTTTTTTTGACACTTCCTTCAATGAGAGTTCAAAACCTGACTGGATGCAGTCTGTAAAGTCAGACATTTTCTGTTGAATATCATATCTTAATACAGCTCCACCTTCTTCTTTCTTGTGAGGTTCTGGGGTAAAAGTACAGACATAGAAGAGGATGGCTGGGAAAAAAAATGAATGCTTGACTCCTTTGTCAACTCTTAATACCTATATAGGTATGACCATAAAGAAGTTTAATCATTACATTATTTTTCAGTTCCTAGAATCAAGATACAGAAGTGTTCAAGGAAAGGATCAGGTGTCTTGGTGAGAGCAATAAGATTGAGCAGCATCTCAACAGCAATTTATTTCTTTGCTGCTGGTACTTTCATAGCCTGCTGCTTTTGGGACAAGCCATATAAACCATGATGTTTATCCTTCCCCAGCATAAGAATCAAAAGGCATCTCTCTTCTACCTGTATGCTGCATAGATTATTACAGCAAGAGAAATTATAGTTCCTATATTTTACAAACAAAGAGAGAATCAGAATGAGCTGCAAATATAAGAGTGGTGCAAACTACTAATTTGGTCCAGAATGTTTCCCAAGCTCAGTTTAAATGCATGCAAAACAACAACTATGAATTTGAGCATATACCTCTGTCAGACGGTTCATAGAGCACAGCATTTAGAATTCTGATGACTATTTTCCAACTCACACAGTTGAAAGACTAGAGCTGCTACAGAATGAAAACAGTCACTTTGAGAGTAAAAAATAAATAATTTAATGCACAATAATATAATCAGATTACTCCTAAATAAACTAGTAATATTAGAAAGAGAAGAAAAATTTTTCATTACATTTCTAACAGTACAAAATGCTTTTAAAATAAAAGTTCTATTCAACAGTACTAACATTTCTAAGACTATAAATAAATGACAAGATGTAGTTCACTCACATGGTAGTGAATATGTTCCATTCTGCATAAAGGTAATGCTTAATTTTTATGTTATAGCCAGTCACTGCCTGTAACTTTTGTGCCATTCTGGCCTATGTCTTCTGCTCCAGCACCAACTTCTTGGCACTGATTCATCTCCTCTGGTCTGTCATCAAAAAGAACTACTATTTACTGCCTTATTAAGGCAAATACCTTACATCTGTTCATTTTTATCCCAGTGCTAGGCAGGAACTATAATTAAGGATATAGACTAGTCTTCAGATTTACAAAAACAGGTCAAATATCTGTCTATTCACTAGTAGCAATAACTAACTGTAAAAGCACACTGCTAATTCGACCCTTAAAATATTCCTGTGACATTCAGCTGCATTAGTGAACAAGACATGTCTCTTCATGCTGTTGCTTTCTTCTTTTGTATTTCACATTGAAGAAGAGAAAAATAGAGTAAAGAGCACCTTATCCAAGGAGGTTGTAGGAAGAATAAGAAAATTATGAGAGCTAAAGCATTCTTAAGAAGCTAGTGCAAAGGCCTAGCAGGTAATTGCAGGTAATTAAAGAATACAAATACATACACACACACACACATATATATATATATATATGTATATTTAGGTTTTCAGGCTGTTTTACAAGGAAAGACCAACAAATAAATGTGCCATATGAAATTCGGAGAGAAAAAAATAACATATATGAATTGGAGTGGAAGTGAGCATTGAAGATGAAGCTGTACAGATAATTTTGCATAAGCCAAGAGAAAAAGAAAGGAGCCATGTGCAAGACTGCTTTCAAAGCTCATGCAGAACATTCAGATTTAATCATAAGGCAAGAGAAAGCAGAACTTTCAAAGTCAACGGAGCATGCATCAAATACATGATTTTCTCAAGGGTGAAACGGATTACTGAGATATAGAAGAAGGAGGTAGTGGTGCTATAGCAACACAACACTGTCACATATATACCACATTTTCCATTTACAGTATTGCACCACAGGCAGTATTTACAGGACAACAATTTTAGAAACATTTCTACCTAATGAATAGTTCCCTGCCCTGGGATTACTTGTAGATAGGGAATCGCATCTCCTCTAGGTAGTGATGAAGATGAAGAATCTTTCCATAATTTCTCTGAAAGTTAAAACAGTACCATATTAACATTAAAACGAAACTTTAAACAGTTATTTCAACATATTCTTTCCTGTTCTCTTTTACACTCTTTTCCTAAGAATCCTGTCAATATATAAGGAATAAAATTCTTCTAAAAATTGGAACTGAGGACCTGTTGATGTCTTGTCCCTTGGTAAGAATCCCAAGAAAAACCAATATGATATGAGTTAATTGCAAACCTTACTTACCTACACTGCAATGCCGAATTGTTAGCCTAGGAATATTCTAAAAGCACACAGGTGTGACTCAGTAAATTGGCACTGGGGGGAGGCAGTTCCATGCATTTAGTATAGTTTCAAAGCTCATGGGACTTTTATATGGGCATTTCTATCAGGACAAATATAAATGCATTGGAATCCCTACCTAGTCGCTGGTAGTCATCATCTAGAAAACCTGGAAGAATGAACATTTGTTTCCTTTAAAGGTATTTCTGGACATAATAAATTTTCAAAAAAACTACACAAAGACAAAAATCAGGATTCTTTTTCATCCCTTGGATTAAATGTGTTTTGTTAGCATTCAAAACCAAATGTACAATAAGGAGAAATATTTTTAATTGTTTGTCTTCCCATTATGGTACTCATACATACAAGGAGAATTTTTCTGTACAAATAAAATGCAATATTAGATCAGAAAAGTTTGGTTGGAGTCCATAGCTAACAAGTCTCATCACTATTCCCTTTCTCATCAGAGAACCAAACAGTGAGTCCCAGGTTTTAAGTTAAGCATATCAAGACTTTCTGAAAGCTATTTTAAAATATCCTTAATACTGTTATGCAAATCATATATACTAATGAATCTCAATATCTTTCTAGAAATATTTCCCTCCTTTCACATAAATACTTCTGCTCTCTGTAAAGAAACAGTTTCTCTAAGGTACAGCACTTACATGTGAGAGAAGTCGGGTTGAGCTTTAACCTGTCACATTCAGATGTCCCAGGATTAAGAGTATCTTCATCATAAATATACTGACGTAAAATGTTCCTTATAAAATCTGGGTTCATACGGTTTTCCATGAATCCCTCTGTTGATGGTGGTACAGAAAACACTAGCTGATAAATTACGGTGGAGCTTTCATTACTGAAAAACAAAGCCAAGGATAAAAAGTCTTCAAGTGTCAACAGCATCTTTTCTTTTTTTTGAAAGATTGACTTTTCATATCAATGTTGGGATGGATTTTTATTAAAAAAACATTTCCCCAAGAAAGAAAACCGCCAAAGATGCCAGTTTCTGCCTCCCTTCTCAGAACAGCTCTTGAAACTGGGTACGTACTCGAAGCCAGCCAGAGACATGTTTTCAAAACCATGAGGGGCAAATGGACACATGTTCTGATGGGATGCAGTTTTCAGTACTGGTGCTTCACAAGAAGCTACTTATAAGAAGTGTTGCAATATCCTGTGCATAGTTTCACTAGAAACCTGTAGGAATGATTATTTTCATGCTAGCAGTATCTGGGACCACACAGCTGTGCTCCTGACTCAGCTCTGGAGTGGATTACACAAATCAGTGAACTGGAGACCATCTGTGGAGATTTCATTTTTTGTGGTCTACCAAAACTGACTACAATTCAACAGCTATCTTCTATACTTGCAGAATTCAAAACATTTTCAAAAAGTACTTGAATGGGGGAAAATAAAAGGAACGAAAGAGAGGGAGAGAGCAAGAGAGAGGCATCAAAGAGGCAGAGAGACATTATCTAATCAATATAGGTGTAGAACTACAGCTTTGTACTTGATGGTCTAAATCATAGTTAGTACCCACAAGGCTAAGGAGCTACAGTTCACTGTTGAACAAAGCTGGCATGCCCAAGGCTGGCAGGGCAAGGGAGCATATTCCTCAAGGGAGCAAAGTGCCTTTGCGACTGCCACTTGCCACATTGCAACGTGGCTATTCCTTTGTCATTGCTATCTCAAAAGGACTGTGACTTTGCAAAACTACTTCCCTTGATTTTGTCCCATCTTTCTGATTTCTTTTGTAAGAGTTCTTTTTCAGAAGTACTTGGGAAAGCTCTCTGTCTTCTCTTGCCTTCCTGCTATCTCTCCATGACAGGAGACATGTATATTCCTCTTGCCTTTATATCTTTTGGGAACAAAATTATTCTCTCCTCTCTATGAACCCTATTTTATATATTTAAGATTATTTAAACTACATCAATCTTAAGCGTTTCCAGCAATTAATTTTTCTTTTAATAAATATCCTTAAACATGTTTATTAAGGGCTGCAATTGGAACCAAAGATAACAGAGATGATATTACACAGCAACAATATGTTCCTGCCGTTATGTAATTTTAGCAGCATTTACCACTTACACCAGATGATCCTTTGACCAGTTTTCACTGTCTATACACATAATTTTCCCCAAACAACCCTATTTTTCAGAGATTTAAATATTGTACATTAGCACATGTAAAGTCTCATCAGAAGCCTGTAATTTTCAGATAACTTTGGGGACAGAAATTGCTTACCTGAAAGAAATCACCTGAGCTGACCTAAAGTAACGTCCTAAAGCTGGAGATGAGCTGTATACCTCTGTTAGCTGACAGAGAGAGAAAAAAAATGTTTCTTCTATTCAATCTCTTTTTTGCCCTCACAAAGAAAAAAAAAAACACAGCAAATCATTCTTACAAAGTGCTTTAAGGAGCATAAAAACAGGTGCTGAAGGTCAAATAACAGCAAATATCTGCCCTGGAAAAGGCAGAGAGTCATGTAAATTTGACAGACAAATTAATTGTACATTTGAGTGATTGCTATGTCACCTTAACACAATGGGGGCACTCAAGGTGAACTAAAAGCGTGTGCTCATGTTGCTATGTGCAACTAATGCTGTTAGGTTTGGGGTCTAATTAGTACCAAAAGGCCCTTCTAACTCTTACTTTGTGGGGGAGAGGGTCTCTGTCTTGAGACTGCCTTCCCACCATGTCCAAATGATAACTGCCATGTATGCTGAGCATATTTCAGCTGTAACTCAGAGCTGTGCTGGCTCAGCAGGAATCACAGCTATAAACTCAGACTGTAATCATGTACTCATAAGAGAATGCAGCACGTAGGATGTTTAGCCCATATTATGCTTAGATGATTTTCCCAGGCCTCTCCTAAATTATTCAATGATTCTATGAAAAAGGTGAAGACAATGTCTTTACAAATGGTCAAATTTATGGGAAGAAAGTCCATACTTTATTGTGCTTAAAAGCAGACAATTAATTTTTTTTCTAGATTGTGACTTTAAAAAGTACAACACAATTTATTTGTGGACTTGCAAATGAATGAGTTGCTACACAGGGAAACAGAAACTTAAAAGGCAAAACACTGAAGCAGAATCAACTTTGCCAAGAATTACATAAACACTTACCCTCTTAGTAATGTCCTCGGAGGAGAAGTGTGGGAAACCACACATTAACTCCAGCGTTCCTGAAAAATTGTGAAAATTTCCATTGCTTAGTAATTCATCAGGATCCCAGTAGTCATCCTCGTCTGTGTAAACATCTAATAATTAAAAGGAGATAGAAAGGGGAGAAAAAAGTTTCAGATAGCTGAAGTATTGAGAAACAACCCTCTTGGCTTTCTCATAGATTTCTTAGGTAAGGACTGACTGGGAAAGACAGAAGGAAAGTGCAAGTCACCTGAAAAAAGTGACAGCACCTGGAAGTCAACCACCAACCTCCATTAGCAAAGTCATCTGCTCTGGGAGTCTGACAGGCAATGACTCCATGGGACCTAAGTCATCCATGGCACTTGTTCCAACATTACAAACACAATTTCTGTCCTCATATCCAAATCTCTGGTTGTGATATTTCCTCACTTAGCTACAAACTTGAATTGCCACCAGATCAGGATACCATTTGCTTGCTGCCTGCTAAGATAAAAGCATTCACAAGAACTACTGAACTATAATACCACCCTCTGCAGTCAGTATTCCAGTTCCTTCAGCAGTTTACTGAAGGACATTAAAGGATGTTATTGTTGCATTTGTGTTCTATTAGAGTGTACATATTGCATGTTTGTATTACTGTAGCCAAGAGCGAGATACTTACTAGAATAAAGAATTAGGCTGATGAGAATGACCAGGAAGATCACTAGAAATATTGTAAATATAACCATCCATAGTTTACACTTCCAGAAAACTACATTCCTGCATGATTTCCAGCCATCTCTCTCCTAGGTATAAAAGAGAAGGGCATATTGATTAATCAAATAAGGCAGGAGAAAAATATTGAAAAATGTCTTGGCTGTCACACAAAACCCCCACATAGATGGGAGAACCTCATTGGTAAGCAATGCCCTGCATCAGGGGTTCAAAGCCTTGACTACTGCTGCAGGAGAAAATGCAGACCTAGAGAAGGTAAAGGACATTCACTTGAGAGAGATCATTCCCCTTTGCACAGAAGTTCCAACTCCTGAATGGCCCATAAAGTTAAAGTACTGCAAAGGTGATTTCTTGGCTCCACATTTGGTTTTTTTTAACTACGTGAATTAAATTTGCACATTCCACAAGCTCTCCTTTTAATGTTTTTCATCTCTCCCAACTAAAAAAAGTGTCTCTGGAGGTACTTCCAAAATCATTCACCTCTGCAGCATTGATGATGTCAACCTGCATAGCTTCTGGATGCCAGCATCCAATGCAAAGGCAGTGCTCTTCAATAGATACTATTGCGTTAAACCCTCTGTAAAATAATTGAGAATTTTATAGTTGTCTTTTTTTTTTTTTTCAGAAGATTGGAAACTTGAAGGCTATTGAGTGTATTTAACAGAGAGTTTAATGCAAATCTCACCTGCTCTATGAGGTCAAAAGAAAACTTCACTCAAAGCAATTGCGAAGGTATGTACATTCATATGGGAAAGGACAATACCTTGCCTGTTATTTAATTTTTATAAGACTGAAAACCACAACAGAAATTAGTCTTTTAATGAGTTAATTCAACAGGATAAGTATTAAAAAAAAAAAAGGCGGGGGTGGGAAGGAGTAAGCTTAGGTGATGGATGGCAAAACAGATAACTTCATCTGTTTTGTTCCACAGCCAGAAGAATCAGAGGACTGAAGCAAGGCTTGAATTCATAAGCAAACCATGCTGTCTTTTTAATTACTCCTCTCTCTTCCTCTCCATCCACCATAATGGTAGTAATAAATTCTATGTGTTTTCTGTCATCAGTACCAGGTAAGGAAAAGCATGTGCTGTAAGTTGTCTGGGACACACACATGCAGATTGGCAGAAACCAGCTGCTGCTGGAGGCAATAATCCAGGTTTCCTTCCTTTACTTTTTGAACTTTCTAAGACCAAAGAATAACAGGGAGGTTTTCACTGAATTTAACTGAATTGAGCAGCTGGCTAAAAGCTTCTATGTGGTGGCAGTGGAACAGGGAGAGAAAACTGACACACAGAGAAAACGCTTACAAGAGAGATTCCTTCAGGAACAGAGGCAGAAAAAGGAAAACACTCTCTGTAGACACCTCTGCACACAGAACTTTGCTCTGCTGGAGCATGAAAGGCAAACACTGAGTATGGTTTTGTTGACAGCACGCTTTCAGCTGTCATCTCATTTTTTTTTTTTTTGTTATTCGATTTTTAAAATATTTTATAGAAACATTTATATATATTTTATAGAGGTATGAATTTCAATTTAATACTTACATTAGCATATAGTTTTGTATTTTAAAAAATTTTAAAAGCCAGTAACTACTGCCTAGAGTGCAACTATGAAATCAGCCATAGCCCCATCAGTTGAGACAGGCAGCTGTCAAGTCCAAGTTTTGACTGAGCCACCATATAGTAAAATCAGGGCCCCTGACAAAGAGAAATTATTCGCATCTGCTTTCCGAAGCATTCCAAAACTTCGGAATGCTGAATACTTGCTTTATTAAAATTATATTATATTATATTATATTATATTATATTATATTATATTATATTATATTATATTATATTATATTTTAACTATATTACAAAGAATACTAAAGAATACTAAAGAATACTAAAGAATACTTACCACTAACTAACAACTCGTGACTGTCTGCAGACTGACAGTCCACACAGCTTGGACCCGATAAGCTAATTAACATATACAATCTCCGCCAGAATCCAGTTACCAAATTCCTTCAAGTAAACAACCTTCTCAACACATTCCACATGTGCAAAACACCAGGAGCAGCAAGCAGAGATAAAAATTGTTTTCCCTCTGTGCTTCTCCAGGAAAAAACCTGAGAGAGGGAATTATGTCTCCCTCTGTTCAGAGGGCATGTTAATACCACACCACCGCATGTTTAGGCTATCACAAAACACAACTCTTAATCATACATAGCAAACTGGCTTGATCCCAGGAAAACATTCAGTTTCACAACTAGTCCAACATCTTCCGAACTTTGTCAATAGGCCAGGGGGAAGCAACAACAGCCGAGAAATTCTCTCCCTGGTGGGCAGGACAGCTCTGATTAACCTGCCAACTGAGCAGAAAGCAGAGCATTGTAACTTCCAGTAATCTGTATAGGGCGGGAGGCCACTTGCTATAATCAGCATAAAGAGAGCTCAAATGAAAACTCAGCTTTGGAAAGGGAAAGGATAAGCCCAAGGGTAAGGTTCCTCGAGATAGTCCAGCAGACTTAGCTGATCCCTGGCTCTCCTCCCCCCTCTGCCGCTCCTCTTTGCACCTCTTGGAATGTGTCTAGCCCTGCAGCGAGCTGATTCAGCTTTCCAGACCACGGGAGAAGTAACTTGACCCCTCTGACACAAGAGAACAGAGGGGGTTTTTGCCTAGTCAGCGGATTAAATGAGCCCCAGAGGTGTGAGCAGCGGGGCTCCCCCAAGGCAGCAGTGAAGTCACAGGAGCGGGAAGGGACGGGCGGTGCCTCAGGCAGACAGCTCCCGGCAGTCAGCCGTGCCCACAGAAAAGCAGGAAACATCCTCCCACCACCACAAATACTCCTGCAGCATGTAGTGTAATTCACTACATACTACAGCAGTCACGTGTGAATATGTTATTCTTCTGCCAGAATTAGTCTGTTCTGTAGCTTTAAAATAGGGACTAGGAGCTACGTCCCTTAGGATTCATGTGCTGATCTTAGCTGAGGGTTTGAAGCATTCTGTTAATACAAATTCATAATGGTTAGCAACTGAAAATTACTCAGAGATGATCCAGCATGCTCTGTTCGAGGACATCTTATTTTTGTTTGGTAGCACTGTTTCCTGGTTGACTTCTACTGAAAGAAAGCCTGGCTTTAAAACTTATTTCAACTTTCCTGGTTTTGAGCCCAGTCCCACGGCTAGCACATTAGAAGAGAAAGCAAAACTCAGAGAACCAATTACAGTTTCACTTCCTAAATTAATGCTTAAAATCCCACTCTCAGAACACTTCGTTGATAAGGAAAAATAATTACATTTAACATTTTTTTAGCCTCTCTCCCTCTATTTCAAACAGGAAATTAAATAACCTCTACAAAATGCTCCTTCAAGTATCATTTCTCTTGCTGTGTAGTATTTCCCCCACAGGAAGGATTAAATGACCAAATGAAATTCCTACCTTTCTCGTTTGAGCATTTAGAGACTTGTCATGATCAGTCTCACTTTCCTCCACATTATGTTCCCGTAATTCAATAATCTCTTGCTCCTGAGCAGAACTCTGCCTTTTCATTGCTTCTGTCTCAGAAGAGGGTCCTCTGCGAGAACCTCTGTCTCTGAAGTGAGCATGGAGCCAGCTCATTTCCTTCTTGTTTCAGCTGCAACTATGGTCAGTGGTAGCTCAGACACGAGGCTGGAAAGAAGGAAGAGTGGGGATAGTGTTCACAGGAGAGGTCTCAAAATACTGTTAAATTAGGGGAATTCCTTGGAAGAACAAATAAAGTCGGCTGCCCTAGCTGCAGAGAAAGGGAAGGCAGAGGAAGTATTGATTTGCATAGCTATGAGAGCTCTGACTCTCAGCTGTGCAATACTAGGTTTTCCAGTTTGCCTACCTGCCTGTACCAGCCCTTGACAAGCAAGTGACTAAACCTTCAGCAATGCTGGGACGATTTTGGAAGGAACCAGTGTTTTCTCTGCTGCTGTCAGCCAAAACAATAAAATTTTATTACTGTTATCCATGCAGCTAAACAGATGCGGTGCTGAACAGCATGAACAGAGTAAAAGTTCATAGAGCATATTGTTTGTTTAGGGTGGGACTCTGTCAACACTTGTGATTCTAGTCTCCCTTTATAGTCAATAAAGAAATGAACACTAACGACCTTTGTGCTATAAATTGTTCTTCTTCTAGCTATTATACTGCCTAAAATCATATCTAGTGTTAAAGAACCATTTATGTCCTTTAAGATACTATCCAACCTAAACCTGAGAAGCTGCTTTCTGGTAAAAAAACCCAGAGGACATAGATAGAGAAGAGAAAGATGGGCTTCAATTTCATTCTGTGCTCTACAGGACATGCTTTTATGAAACAACTGTGGTGATTTGGTCTGCACTAGCTTCCCACATGCCCTCTCATGTGCACTAGGAGTCTCTCATAACAGCTTATTGTAGCCAGGGGCTGATTACGACCTCAGCCTCCTAAATATCCTTGATCCTACCTCATCTTATTTCTCCTGTTCACACGCCATCCCCATGTTTCTCCTTCCTTTCCACAGAGCATCTCTCTCCCCTCTGACTCAAAAGGCCTGGGCAGACAGCTGGTACCCACACCCTTCCTTACTCTTTTGTCCCAGCACAGGGAGTATCATGCATTGAGAACCAAACACAGCCTCTCTCCCCAATGCCCTTGCCACTCACAGCACCAATCCTTTTTCCTGCCAAAAGCTCAGGGTGTTCTCCCCTTGTCCCACCACTCCAATTTTCTCTTTGTGCAACTCACCTTGGTTCTGCTGCCTGAAGCACACCCAGGGTTTGCATTCCTGATGTCACGTCACACCCATCCAGGCAAAGGCACTCCATGAAAGTGAGCATGTCTTAGGTTTATTCCACAAGTAAAAAGAAATAAAAATTGCATACCCCACACATTTTGGTTCTGTGAATCTTTAAAGCTCTGGAGGACTGAAGGTGAAACTGAGCAGTCGTCAAGATCATAACATGTATCTGGATCTACAAAATCTTACTTGGGACATCTGACACTAGAAAAGCCTTTATCTGGTTCTCACTACTCCTGCTGGATATTGGGCTCAATTATTTAATTTCTGCTCACAGTAGACCTTCCTACTGGATTGTCTGAAATCAAAACTGCTCCTCTAAGACAAAGAGTTAATGATTATACAGATCTCAACATGCAAAGGCCAAAGTCCTTATTTTATTTTATGTATTTATGAAGAAACTGCTTGAAGTCTTTCTTGCATCTGGAGGATCTAACTTCCACACTTTGTGCATTTCTTCCATGTGAAATTCTGACCCTTCAGCTTTGCAAAAACAGGGAAGTCCAAGGCACCAATGTAGTTCTGATTACACATGGGGTTTATAGTTTCAGAGGCACATCCAAACAAACAAAACATAGTCCCTTGCAGTTTTAGCACATGTTTATTAAAAAGGAAGATGTGAATAATTGAGTAGCCGCTAAAGAAACAGCCCTCCTAATATGCAGGCTTTGAATATAGCTTATGCTGTAAGTTTGACACAAGCTGGGGCAAGATGCCCAACAGGAGAAAGGAAGGAAAAGCAATAACAGTGTTAAAAAGAGCAGTCTCACTGCATGCAGATTACAGTGCTAGCCCTTTTCAACATTTACCCCACATGCTGCCAAGGTGCGTCTGACACTAAACAAAAACCACATACTTATGTACTGCAGAGTGAGTGTGCTGTGTGGACAGCAATAAAAGGTGTTCAAACTGCCAGTTTCATCTTTTAAATATATATATTAAAGGTAAAAGCTAAGCACTTCCAAATGTTGAGCACACCTTAAAGACCATCTAAATGATCTTAAGGCCATCTAGACAATTCTTTTATTAAGCTAAGTACTGGTACTCTGAAGTCCCATAAACAACTTTGGAAACCTTAAATTGGCTAGATTTGGAGTGATAAGCTCATCAGGAGAATAAAATTTAAAAACTTAGATCTACTACCAGGGTTAAAGGAATGTTGCTATCATTTCTTATGTTACTTTCTTTGAGCCCAAGGATGCATCCAACCACATAAATCCATTCTCCTTCTATGTCCATTTCAATTTAGTGTGGCCTTGTGGGCACAGCCCAGAAAGATACACAAAAAAAAAATTTCCTGAGCCTGAAACTCTGCTTTCTGTGGACCAAGGACAGGACAAAAAACAATCCTAACCTACCAGGAGCATGCTAAAAATTCACAATGGATGCCAGAGCTGGAGAACTACACATGTAACATATTGCAAATATTAAACCTTACAGTTAGTTCAAATTCTGAAGAGAATTTAAGAAGGCATTATAGTTTCTTTTTGTTCAATGAGTTACAACTCATTCATTCCTTCCTTTTATTTAGACATCATCCCAAAGAACCTAAACAATACTCTTCCGGTTACTTAATGAAAATTTCTTGCATCCTAGAATTTTTGAGCTATATATCTGGTATTTTTAGGAAAACACAGTAGAGACCCCAAAAGTTACAGCCCAGAAAGTAAAAATCATGCCGTTGCACATAACTGGAAACAATTAATCTCAGCTTTATACACAATACACTATTTATATTTTTGAGAACAATGAAATAATTATTTATGTTTAGAATCCTGTAACATACCTAAAGACTTGAATATATATGGCATGTGGCCATTTTTATCCAGATAAAATGTGGAAATAAATATAGATAACAAGGGACAAGGAAGGAGAGAAGGGTTATGAATGAGGTATGGCTGGATTTTTGTTACAGGTTATAATCCATTTTATTTTGTTTCTAAGGCAGTGCTGTTTCTGCAAATAGCCATAAGGAAGATGAATTCATAAGGAGCCCGGAGTTCCTCTGAGGCTGAACAGTTATTTCTAGATGAACCACAAATGACAGTTTCTTCATTTAAAAAATGTATTTTTTCACCAAGGAACGGTCAATGGCATTTTCATGTTGTATCATCAAATTGACTACAGCAGGAAGCTGCTTTCACACAGAGGTGATCTGCATTTTGTCCTTGGCTCACCAGTTTGTATTCCAACAGATCCAGTCATAAAGTCCTGTCACCTTGGTGTACACACCAGGACAATTGCGCCAAGCACACCCTTCACCCCAGCTCATGATGCCAGCAAGGTACCATCTATTGCCCTTCCCTGTCCAGGCCAAGGGACCTCCAGAATCTCCCCAAAATGAAGGAATCCAGCCATTAGTGCACACACAGAGAGCAGTGTAACAAAAATTAGGTTATTTAGGAACAGTAAATGCCTGCCCCTCTTTGTCTCAAATATTAATTAAAACTTACTTCTACATATAATGTACTCAGCCAGATGCCATATTTATTCAACTGTTTTAAATTAGGGATGCAGCACACTTACCAATATAAAGCAATGGCGAGAAGCAGTTTATAAAATTACTCCTTGATAATGTCTCAGTACAGGATTCATAGAATAACTCACCACAGCTCAAATAGGGAGAGAAGAAGACAGGGATGGAAATAGGGAATTCTACTACAACTTGAAATAGGGAATTCTACTGCAATTTGAAATCTACTATAAATTGTTCACAGGTTGAAGGCAGTTCTCTTATACTGTGTGTTAAATAGGAACAGAAAGATACCACACGCCCCAAATCAAAAAAGCCAACTAACCAAAACAAACCCAAACCTGACAAACAAACAAGGCATAATTGAATATTATCAGTAGTTTTATAATCAAGACTGACTCTACAGGAGACTACTTTGTAGAGGCAGAAGAAGGAACAAAGGAATGTGCAAATAAGAACAGCCTTCTCAAATGGAACATGCAGGTTTGCATAGCAGTATAGAAAAATAAAAAGTTCTATTCAATTCAGTTCCCAGGATCAAAGTGCATTTGGGGTCATCAATGTTTTTTTTTTGCATTCCATTACTTTAACCTTCTCTGACCTAGTCTGTTGACAGAACTCTGGGCAACTACAGTGCAGCTCCTCTCTGCAGCTGTTCCTAATGCACACAGGGCTGTCAGCAGCCTCCAAATTCACCCCGGGGCTTGTTTGAGCCCACAGGTGGAACCAAAACATGTAAGAGGTCAGGAGAAAGCCACGTGCTGAGAAAAGAGTAATAACACAAAGCTTTCATCACCCAACCAACCAAAATTATCTATTATGACGGTACAAAATTATCTAAAGATAAGAAAAGAAGTCAGAGTTCTTCCTTTCTCTCAGGCTGCTGTCCTACTAGAAATGTTGCTAATCCAAGAGACTGATGTCAAAGTGACTTGAGAAAGGAGGCTCAGCCAATTACTCAACCAGTTCTGAAAGACCAAAGGGGTTGTATATCTCTAGGGAAAGGAAGGATCCTAAGCAGAAGAATCAAGATCAAAAACATTCTAGAGTGATAAGAAAACAGAATGAAAGGGTGATTTTTTTATTTCTTGTGTATCAGGTACTCTAAAGATGAAAGGTATTTGGAAGCTTCACATAACTTGTGCAACATATGCACAGCTTACATGTCCAGGAAGGAGTAAAACAGAACAAGGCCCGCACAAGTCTGAAAGCATAGTAAAGCAGGTTTAGGGTGTTATGGGACTTTCCTGAGTTCCCAGTGTCATTCCTCTCTAGCACTGTACAGGAAACATACTATATATTACAGTGATATAATATACTGTGACAGAAAGTATATATAATATATATACTAGTGACAGAAAGAAAGGGAAAAAAAGAAAAAACCAACCCCCAAAAAAAGTAAAGATGCTACCCAGACTAAGAACTTAAAGACCCAGAGGGCCCACATGCTAGACCTCAGACCAACATGCTAAAACTCAGACATAGCATATCATGATGGAAAATGTCTACAGCTGAATAGGTTAAAAATGCCCATCTGAAAATTCAAGGGCATTTCTTAAGCAACACATTTTTTGGAGGAATACCACCCCTCTGACATATTTTAGCAAAATAATTCCAAGGTCAAAGTTTGCAGATAAACTCTACGTAATGTTAATAAAAATAATAATTAATTTAATTACGTCTTTGACACTATAAGAAAATTCTACAAATAGTCTATCGTGTTAAATAAGTTTCACCCATCATGAGCTACAATCTTGCAAAAGTTATCCTATTGCATTAAAATAATAAAATTTATATATTACACAAAATTTGTACCAAATTGCCTCAGCCTAATATTCAGTAACAAATTTCTATCCCTTTTGCATGCTAACTGGTATAAAAAACATGTTTGTAAAGTTGATACTCATCATCAGAAATTTAAACACCAATGAAGTACAGAACTAGTGTACTAGGAGAAAGAAGGCAGAGTCAGGACAGGGTAGTATAACCAAAAAGCAGTTTCTGGTTGTGTGTGTAAACAAGCTGGGGTTTATAACTTACACTACTGTGATGTAGTCACAACTTGTAATTATACACATGAATGAATGTTTGAAATTAAAAAGCACCATTGCAGCTGCAGTTCCAAAACTTAGCTTAGCTTTTCCTTTTGTATTTCTTTTTAACTGTAACAATAAATTACTCATACTTTTACAGTATTTTAGCAATTCCACATCCAGATATTAAAAAGATAAAAAGAAATTAATACAAATAGCGCAATTCACAGGTGAACCTTTTAGTGCAGACGATTCCTTTTATCTTTATATTTTTGTTCTCTGGTATGAAATATAACTGTTGAAGAAGAAAAAGAACTCTTCTTGATATATTTTACCCCTTGCATTTGCAAAATGATATTTCTCTAGAGAGTCAGAGATTATCCATTAAGAATTTTCTTCCTTATTTTGGAGGGCTTTTAGTTGCCATGTTAAATTAACCATAAATTCCCACTCAATAGAAAAGAAAAACCAAAAACCAAAACACAAAGAACAACAACAAAAACCCAAAAAAACACTCACCACACAAACAACCTAAAACTGAAGAGTTTTCCAAAGAAAGCAAACATTCCTTTGTAGTTTTCCTACCAGTTCCATATTACTGGCATGCATGAACACCACCGTTAAGGTTCCCAGCACACAGCATACGTGAAGTAGTAAGATCATCATAGAGCTTGTTGCAAACACTTTGGTTAATCATTCCCACTTGAGCTTCCTGCAGTGTTTTGGCAAGATGACCTAGAAAAAAATACAAAGGGTATTGCAGAGGTTAAGATGGCACAAATTTCTTACAGAGATACCAATTATCAAAACAAAAGAGAATTGCTTCTAACTCAAAATCTACCCAGCTAATGACAGCAGAGTAATTCCCTCACCTTCAAATGGTGCCTGCCCTTATTTTTGAAGGCTGGGTTGTTCACACTACGTAATAGCCACAGACGTTCCACTGCACCATGCACCACCTTTCCATTTCCCTAGCCTTTATCCTTATGACCTTATTCTATCAGAAAGTAGTAAAAGTGCCATGCAAATTGTAAGATAAGACTGCACACGGATGGACTAAATTTGAATGCCATTTCAAATTATGCCTGAAGCTTTTTGTTATTATTTAAACCATGGCCATGCTCCAAACAACATCCTAGTCCTACAAAACGCAATTTCTATATAGTTTTCCATTCTCTCAGTTCTAGGGAAGAAACTGAGGAATAAAGCTGAGCATGGAAAAACAAATAATTTTAAAGAAACACCAAAGAACAGTCTGTAACTCACAAATGATGATAAGACTTTAATTCTGAACTATGGTATTGACATGAGGTGCCCTTGTGAGCTAAATATCCTGATACTTCTGATGTGCTGAGATGCTGCCCAAGCCTAGGTTTCAAGCTGTTTAATGCTGAGACAGGGCAAGGATCCCACAGGCTCCCTTGCTACCCCCTCTCTACCTCAGTGTGCTTTTTTCTGCCTCCCCACTGCAGCTGGCTGCTCCAAGCTACACTTGAGGACAACTTCATGAGGCCTTTGATTAAGACAGAGAAAATAAAAGATCCTCCACATTTTTTTTGCAATTGCAATTATTGCTGCTTATGGCTCTATGTTGTCAATCAGAAACAAATTCTTTCTCTGCAATAGTTGCAAATTACATATCTCTTTACTTGCAAGGTTCTATTCATCCGATTAAATGAGTCATGAACATGAAAATAGGCACATTTTTATAAATCTATGATCATTTGCTTTTCAATGATACCTGAGTATGCATTTTGTCACTTGTCACTTGCTATCCAAGCAACCATTCAGAATTCACAGACTGTAGCTAAGGAAATACTTTCTGGCTTTTTATAGACACACTAAGTAAATGTCATGGGTTTGGTTTTTTTTGTTTTGTTTTGGTTTGGTTTTTTTATTGTGCTTACAATATAAATATTCCATTGTTAGAGTTTAAAACTAAGCCAAACTTGCAAAAAGCGTATCCAGGAAAGGAACATACTATTTTCTTTTATGGCTCCCTAGCCATAAAATAGCAGACCACCCACATAGCAGACAGTTCCATAAAGAAACACTCTAGAGGTGCTAGGTAAACAAATGGGCTCTACCAGCTCACTGAAGAGTACAGCTGTCTCCATTTCCAACAGAGCAATGTCATAGTCTGAGATAGCTTGGTCATGCTCTGGGTAGACAATAATCCTTATGGTTAATCTCATAGCTACATGATTGCTCTTTTCATTTATAGTATGTGAGCCCATATACACTCTCTATCCCATTGGAACAGAGTATCTGTAAAAAAAAGTATTTTTAGAACATCCCATTGGAAAGCAACACAATGTTAGTTCACTCTGTTTTAACTACTTTTCAGTATTTGAGGACATTCATCAAAACCATGGTGCATTTTCAATTTCCACTACCTAAACTGAACATCAATGAGGTTTTCACTCATTGATCAATATATAGGACATGTATTGGGATAAAAGGCCATAGTTCTACTCAGAAAACTCCTGCCTTTTGAAAAGAAGGGGGGAAAAAACAATGGTGTTTACCCCACATCTAACAGGATACTGTTCTGTCATCCAGGTTTTACTGGTAATGGAAGCAAAAGAATAACTTCAAAAACTGAAGATTTTGAAGCCAGCAGACAACACCAAGTGTTCATGTAGGGATGTCATGTCACCAAGTTATTACCTGGATCAACTTATCTAGACAAGGAATAGCTTCTACAAATTATTGAAAGCACCTTTGTAAGGTTATTAAACTGCAAATACTCTAGAACAGTATAATTTCCTCACGCCTTGCAAAATCAGAATCCAGGAAGCAATGGATAACAGATATGAGCCACCTGTTGGAGATCACAGATGCACCACACACGTGGCCATGTGCCCCCATCTGTAAATTTGCTTGCCAAGGCCACTTCTCAGATCTCGCATCTTCACCTCCAACTATTCTGTTTTTTCTAAGCTGGTGTCTTCCACAAGCTAACAGAAATAATTTAATAAATTAGTAAAAAGCCCACCAGTTAATTCACTTTGCCATGCTTGACACAAACTTTTACCCTTAGACCTTACTGTGCAATTGGTAAAAAGTTGAGTACTTGCCCATTTTCACTCAATGGGTAGGTCAGATATAAAGCATTATCTGTCTTCTTGTGTAGCTTTCTAAAGAGTTGAATAACTCAAAAAGAGGTTAAGCACAACTTAAAAGTTCACTTGAATAATTCTTGTCTCTATTCCCTCCTTACAAACACAGCTTGACTGCATTTCATTCAGCTCAAAAAAGAAGCAAGACCTACCAGCTTATCCAGGAAGTGCATTGCTTGAAATAAGTCATCATAGACAGAATGGATGAGCTGATTTAAAAGAAACAGTGCAAAATTCAAGACAGATATTTGCATACAGTGTTACCAGGAAATTATTTTTTTTTAAATTCATATTTGATTAACGAATTCTTAATCCAATAATGCTTAAGAATAACACAAATTGATGATTTAGTTTTCCAAGTAACTAACAAATTTTAAAATAAATGTTACCACACCACAATGTGATCCATCTCACAGTCTCTTTTCCCATCACACTCAGGATTTCGTTTCAGCAAGCATGTTCCATTGAAGCATTTGTATGCATAAGGGGAGCAACTTTGGTGGGCTGAAATAAGACAGAGAAGATAGTGTCACATGTTTGGAGTCATGCTTTCAAATTATTGACAACATCTTGCACATTCAGCAAGTTGTTCAAAGCTACACATTCTAGTCTGCTTAAAGTAGTAGTCCTATGCTAGCGTAAACTGGTCCCACTGTGGAGAGGGAACAGGGGAATGACCCACCCTAATTAATGATCACGCTAATTTCAGTCTCCCCTGTCCCTGACAAAAAAGAAGACCCTTCAACTGTCCACACTCCCATTTTACATAACTCTAACCTGAGTGAGTGAGGCTTCTCAGATCTGTTCTTTTGCCTTCACCAGAACCACGGGCATTACAAATAATAAAAATTCACAGCATCTTTTAATTTTCAAGTGAAATTGAGAAAACTGCAGAAGAGCTTTATACCTACCTCCAATAAATTTCTGACTAAGGACTATCACAGTTTACTATGTGAGAAGCCTGATAGATCTCATCAATTCGCTTCCATAACTATTATTTTTATTAGCAGTTGTTTACAAGGACCTCTAAACAGTGGGAGGTAGGTTTTTTTTGAAAAAGGATTTACTCCTGGTTACCCCAAGACTGAAAGCATGACAAAAAGTCATGCTTCACATAAGCAAAATGAAGCAAGTCACTAGGGAGCCATTGGTAGTATCAGCAATGTCCACAACCATTGAGGACCAACATGCTACCCTCCCTACTAGAGGTCATCTGGATGTTTCTCTGCCATTTCTGTCAGACATTTATCTGCCTTGGTTTCGGTAGTACACAGTGACAGAGAGACTTGTGCTGTACTATCTGACCTTGGGTTACCTTCTGGTCACTGTTTCTGGTATCTTTTGAATGTTCCCTATGTTCTTTGACATGCAATGCCTAGTTTAGGTACAGTACACTAGCTGAAGCCTTCCCACTGGTGATCAGGAAGGTATTTTCATTTTCCTGTTTTATATCCTAGTGTGACACTTAAAAACCCCAGAACAAAGACAACCAACCAACAAAACACTAAATACAAACAAAACTCACAGAGTATTTTGTGGCTCTGACTAACAAGTCAGCTTTTGAGCAACAATCATCCCCTCTGCCATTTTTTCATCAAAAAGCAACTTAGGCGATTCACATGTCAGTTTAATTATCTCCATTCAGATCTTCACAGAATCACAGAATATTCTGAGTTGAAATGGACCCACAAGGATCAACTTTACAGTTCAACTCGTGGCTCTGCACAGCATCACCCACAAGAGTTACACCTTGTGCCTGAGAGCATTGTCCAAATGCTTTTTGAGCCCTGGCAGCCTTGGGGCGGTGACCACTGCCCTGAGGAGCCTGTTCCAGTGACCAATCACCCTTTGAACCTAGTCTTCCCCTGATACCACGTCAGACCATTCCCTCGGAAGTGTCACTGGTTACCAGAGAGCAGAAATCAGACAGCTGCCCCTCCTGTTCCCCTCACAAGGAAGCTGTAACTGCAATGAGGTCTCCCGTCACTCTCCTCCAGGCTGAACAGACCAAGTAACCTCAGCTGTTCCTCATACAGTTTTCCCTCAAGGCCCTTCACCATCTTTGTTACCCTCCCGTGGACATTCTCTTAAAGATTATTATTTTTTATATTGTGGTGCCCAACACTACCCCCATCACTCGAGGTGAGGCTGCCCCAGTGCACAGCAGAGCAGGACAATCCCCTCCCTCACCTGGCTGGTGATGCTGTGCCTGATGCACCTCAGCACAAGAATGACCCTCCTGGCTGCCAGGGCACTGCTGACTCATATTCTTGTTTTTATTTTTCTCCATACATATTCTACAGCCTTTCAGGACCACTTACAAATGCATCCCTCTTAAATACATCCATATTTCTATCGTGTAACAGTTTTCTATTTCAGAAGCACCTACTCTAATCCATAATTTAGATCACGAACAAAAATTATGTGACAATCCGTAACAATATTGGAAGAATTATATTAAAAATATCCTTCCTCTTTGGCAATGAGTCTTGACCAATCATTCTGTGGAAACAGTTTCCTGTATTTTTTTCTCCCCACATTTTCTTTACTTATTGATAAGCTTGTCACATAAAACAGTGTCAAAATACAATTTATCTATTTATCCTCTCACAGCAGGGAACTAAAACAAAATTTTAAATCTCCATGCTGGCTTTAATATTATTTTCACTATTTACAAATAGTTTACTTTGGCTATTTCTTGTGCATTTTTTTCCCTTTGGAAAGTTAACTTATAAAGATTGGTGTGAAATTCCCTCTTGATTTTTCTGTTCTCCCACTCTTTAAAGAGACACATTACACAGCCTCTTTTCCACACTTTTAGATCTTCACCCACATGCTTCATGTGATCTTAAAGATTGCCAGCAGTAATTTAGAGATAATTTCAACTCATGTCTCAACTTTGTGGAAAAAACTCTTTACAGAAAACAACAAACAAGAAATGATTTCTCTACCCCAATCCAATTCAGCAGTACCATCTGGGCAGCCTTTCCAACATTCAAACTAATTTCTTGAAGGAATGCACGTTCTGTCTGCATATCTAAGGACAAGCTAGAAAAATAAGAAATCAATGATGAAATATTGATACAGTCTAAATGCAGTAATGCAGGACTCTACCATGAAGAAATAGTAAAATTATTATTAAAAATTAAAGTTTGTGTAATTTGTAAAATGAAATGAATATTTTAAAAAAATCTCATTTGGCACAATCTGTCAAAGATTTTTATCAAGCAGTCTGAATTAAATGAGTCACCTAAATATAGTTAGAAAATTGAATTTACATTAATTGCCTCTACTCTTAGGGTTGAAAGTCATTCACCACAGATACACAACTACTGATAGGAAGCATTTCTTTAATTTGTTAAGGAATGTATTTAATACAGGAAAAGGAAAATAAAATCAAAAATCATTTTCCTAAGGAAAAGGAAAATAAAATCAAAGCTAGACTTCTCTTTAGTATTACAAATACATATTTCCTCCTATTAAAATTCTGTACAAATTAATCTCTATGTTACTACACTCAGTGTCTGATGTGAATAAGTGCTTTATCAAACAATTCCCAAAACTCACAGTCTTGTATGCAACAGCCCTTGACCAAGAATTTCTTTCATATTCACATTAACTAATTACTAGTTAGTTTAGATGGTAAGTTGTTTCTTTACAATATGTAAAAATGTTTGTTCTCTTTGACTCTTTCAGATGTGCAAGAAAAAATAAGTCTCTGAAAGACTAAGTAGCTCAAACCGCTCCTCTTTCTGCCCAAGTGAAGTAAAATGAAATTTTCTCCCATTTAGCACGATAGGCAAATTAAGAGCTACATCAGATTGAAGGACCAAATCCACTTATCCCACAGTAGTCTAATCAGTTCCAATCTGGATTAAATTAGTCTTCTTCACTGCCTTGTATGTGGTGTCAGTGGGAGGAAAGCACACACCACCCAGCCAGCACAAGCTCAAAGCAGGAGTGTCTGCATTTTCTTGTCACTTCTCCCTGAAGTTATGCAGCTGATGGCTGGCATTTGCTTTCCAGGTCAGCTCAGAGCAGAGCGTGTGATTTTTAGTAACTGTGCTTTGATAGGCACTCAACAATGGAGAAAAAACTAACCTCAGGTGGGTGATTGCAGGTACTTAAGATATGGGAAAACATGACTTTATTTTTTTCCTTCTCCTGTTACTACTGCTGCAGGGAAGGCTGATATAGGCCAGCGCTCTCCATCCATGCTGGTGTCTGAGATAGCATTCCCCAAACTACTGCATCTACTTGATACTGACACATGACAGCCATTCCACTCCTCCTGAGTCTTTAAACAGAGCCTCCTGACTGTGACTAAGAACTGATTAAATAACTTTGAGCCATCTGCTTCCTGCCTCAGTGCTAGGAGCAGAGCACACAGATACACACAATAAAGGCAGTGGATTTTGTTAAAAAAGGTATTCCTAGGCTTGGAATCTTAATCATTTTTGAGGCAAAAACCAGAGTAAGCACAGAACTAAGAATAGTTAGTAACTTTTTCTGGTAGAAAGAGGACCCACATTGTTGGAAGAAGAAATCCCTGAAAATTTGTGTCTTATAGAATGACTTATTGGATTTAGGGCACCCCTGATGAAGGAAAGAATGATGAGGAGGACTCCATCTTATCACAAGGCTAATTAATTACTTTATTATACTATATTACACTATGTTACATTACGTCTAAACTGAATCTGCCAAGCACTCAACTGCACTGACTCGTGACTGCCCACTGACAGTCCCGACACACACATGGATTCAATTGGCCAGTGAATCAAAACGCTCACACCAGAATCCAATTACCAATTCCCTTCAAGTAAACCACATTCCACAATGCATTCCACTTGTCAACAACACAGGCACATCAAATGAGATAAGAATTGTTTTCATCATACTTTTCTCTGCTTCTCTCAGGTTCAGAGAATGTGAATCCCACAATGACTGACCACAAAACGTGCCATTTATTTAAAGTGAAAGGCCATGAAACAAGAATCTTTACCAGAAACCTTAAAATTTAAATGCTTCTATGTCAACAATGAACAGAACTACATTCTGACAAGCAAGCTGAGGATTTGAAGAAGCTTCTCAAAATGAACTGATCTCGTGAAATCACAGAGAACTTTAACTACCTAGACATTAATTGGGTAAAAAAACCCTGGCATTTAAAAAATCTGAAATTGCATCTTTTCTAAGAAATTTCACAAATAAATATACTCATATCTCCTGAAAATTCATGTTCCACCATCTGGAAGACCCCCAAAATCTAACATTGATCCAGAACATTTTCTGTTTCAGGGGAGGGTCCTGCCTTCCTTAGCAGACACCTGTCTGTCAAAACCAAGACAGATTTTGGTGCCCAATATGAGGCTTAAGGACATAGAAACAAAAAGGGAATAACAGTTCTTGAGTAATCTAATTTTTGTGTGCTGCTATAGAAACCTCATTAAGTGACACCATGTGGTCCAGCTTACCCTAGTTTGGGTGGCATGTGATAGTAGCTATATTTCTCCCATTTGCAGACCCTTATCTAAACATGGCTCCTATAACCAAGGCTACTGTGGCTGTTATCCACTTTGTTTTATGGGTGAATAAGGTGAGGAATTCATGGATTTTTAATTTCCTCTGGAAAGCAGACACATGGATTCAGAGCTATCACACACTAACTGTATGTTTTTGGGGTTACTTTAATAATGGCACCTACCATAATGAAATGACACTGGGGAAAATTTTCTCCCAACCATTTAACTATCTCTTTGGGTCTGCCCCACCATTTTTTGAAGTGTTTAGATCCACTCTAGATACTAATAATATCATACAGTGGCTGATGTTGCTGATAGGCCTGTTCTATTTAGCATTTAGAGATAAGGAAAGGTTAACCTGGATAATCACCCTGACACCTACTCCAGAACCTGACATGGCACCAGAGACTAGGGATGCTGATGCCCCAAAGCCTGACCCTGCCCCACAGCCAACCCCATATATGAACTACCCAGGCTGGATGGGGGGGTCTGGTGAAGGAGATATGTGAGATGGGCCAGATGCTGAAGGAGTACATTTCCCCAGCTGGTGAAAAACTCTTCCCCTGCCTCAAAGAGGAGGAGTCTAACAGTGCAGCAGTGGAACCTACAGATATTACAACTGTCCAGGTTCCAGTTGAACTGCAAAGGCAAGGCATAGCTAGCAGCAGTTGCCCCTATAGAAACAAGGAGATCTAAGATGAAATCAGAGCACCCAGATAGGGGAGGGCCCTCACAACCCACAGGGGAGCCAGAGGTTGCAATCATCACCGGGTCCCTGACGTATGAAAATCTCCGTAATCTGCACAAAGACATTGTATGACGGGGATGTGAGGCTTATACTTTGGGTCTGGGACCTTATGGGTATAGGTGTCCAGCTGGATGGTGGTGAGGCAAGGAATCTGGGACCCTTGACCCAGGACTCAGGTATGAATCAGATTTTTGTAAGGGAGCCAGGGTCCCCTTTCCTCTGGGAGTGGTTTTTAATAAGTGTCAGAGAGAGGTTTGTCGACAGGGAGAGAATGCAGGACCACCACCATAGAATGCTCTGGAAGATTGAGGAAGGGATCCAACAGCTGAGAGAAATGGCAGTATGGGAGGTAGTCTTTGGGAGGGATGAACATCATGATAATGACCCCAACAAGGTCAGGTTGTTTGCACAGGGCAAATGTTGTGGAGTCTGGCAAATCGAGGGCCATCTCAATACACCACCTTCATTGCAATGATTGATGCTGATAACAACTGAGACACAGTGGGTTCTGTTGCCAGCAAGCTTAGAAATTATGAAAGTATGATCAATGGCCCAATGCAGGATCACGTCTCAGGAACTCAAAGAGAAGATGAGGGAGATGAGGGAGGAGGTGAGGAGGAACATTCCCACATTGCAACAGTGAGAGTCACAGGCCCCAAAGTCAGAGCCCAATGTTCCCCAGCTAGAGAGAGAGGGTACAGCCCATGGGCTGACCTATGGTTCTTTCTGTGTGACCATGGGGAAGACATGGGAAGGTGGGATGGAAAACCCACTTCTGTCCTGGCAGCAGGGGTGCGTCAACTCAAGGAGGGAAACCCTAACTAAGGGAATTCCAGTAAAGTGAAGGTACCCTCAACCTCCCATGATGGAGCTGCCAAGTATGATCTGTCAGATCCTCTTGAAGGTATCTCTATCATGAATGTGCAGGAAAGCAATAATAACCAGGTTAAAGGGGCCCTGCCTCTATCCAGGGAGAGGCATCTGAAAACTGGATCTTCTGGATGGTGTGGATCTGATGGTCTGGCACATCACAACCACAAAATACAATGCCTTAGTTGATACTGATACTGATCAGGGTACTGCAGTGTACCCTGATACCATCGGGACATGTGGGGGCAGAACCTGTTTCCATTGCTGGGATGACGGGGGGATCACAGCAATTGATCCTGTTGGAAGCCAAGGTGAGCCTGACTGGGAAAGAGTGGAAGAAACATCCTATTGTGACTGGCCCAGAGGCCCCGGGTATTCTGGGCATAGACTTCCTCCAGAATGGCTATTACAGAGACCCAAAGGGACTCAGATGGGCTTTTGGCATAGCTGCTGTAGAGGCAGAGAACATTAGGAAGTTGAACACTTTGCCTGGACTATCAGAAAACCCATCTGCGGTAGGACTCCTGAAGGTAGAAGAGCAACGAGTGCCAATTGCCACTTCAACAGTGCACCGCTGACAGTACCGAACAAATCGAGATGCTGTGATTCCCATCCACAAAATGATCCGTGAGCTGGAGAGCCAAGGGGTGGTCAGCAAAACCCACTCACCCTTCAACAGCCCCACTTGGCCTGTGCACAAGTCTGACAGAGAATGGAGATTGACTGTGGACTTTCGTGGCTTTAATGAAGTGCCTCTACCACTGAGTGCTGCTGTGCATGCTGGAACTCCAGTACAAGAAGAGTGAAGTCAAGGGACCTGCCTGAGAGATCCAGTTCCTGGAAGTAAAGTGGCAAGACGGACAGTGTCAGATTCCAGCTGAGGTCATCAACAAGATCACCCACAATATCTCCACCAACCAGCAAGAAGGAAAACAAGCTTTCCTTGGGGCCATAGGTTTTTGGAGAATATACATTCCCAAGTACAGTCAGAGGGTGAGCCCTCTTTACCTAGTGACCCTCAAGAAGAACACTTTCCACTGGGGCCCCAAGCAGCAACAGGCTTTTGCCCAGATTAAGCAGGAGATCGCTCATGCTGTAGCTCTTGGCCCAGTCAGGACAGGACCAGAGGTGTTGAATGTGCTCTACTCTGCAGCCAGAACAATGGCTTGTCCTAGAGCCTTTGGCAGAAGGTGCCTAGGGAGACTTGAGGCCAACCACTAGGATTTTGGAGTCAATGCTACAGAGGGTCCAAAGCCAAATATACACTCCCACAGAGAAGGAAATTTTGGCTGCCTATGAAGGAGTTCAAGCCGCCTCAGAGGAGATTGGCATGGAAGCAGAACTCCTCCTGGCATCCCGACTACTGGTGCTGGGGTAGATGTTTAAAGGAAAGGTTCCCTCTACCCACCACGCCACTGACACTATATGGAGCAAGTGGATTGCTCTCATCACACAGCGTGCCTGTATTGGAAACCTGAATTGCCCTGGGATTTTGGAGAAAATTATAAACTGGCCAGGAAGTGAAAACTTCGGTCTCACTGATAAAGAGTAACAAGAGCAAGTGACATGTGCTGAAGAAGCTCCACCATACAACCATCTACGACCAGAGAAAACGCACTACGCTTTTTTCACTGATGGTTCCTGTCGCATCATAGAGATGAACTGGAAGTAGAAAGCAGCCGTATGGAGCCCCACACGACAGGTTGCACAAGCTACTGAAGGAGAAGGTGGATCAAGTCAACTTGCTGAACTCAAAGCTGTTCAGCTGGCCCTGGACATTGCTGAGAGAGAGAAGTGGCCAAAGATCTACCTTTATATTGATTCTTGGATGGTAGCCAATGCTCTGTGGGGCTGGCTGGAAAGGTGGATAAAGGCCAACTGGCAGCATAGAGGAAAGCCAGTCTGTGCTGCTGATGAATGGAAAGACATTGCTACTTGGGTGGGGAAGCTGTGGAGAGCGTGGTTCAAACATGGCTTAAAGAAAGAGGCCATGAAGGTATTCAGCTAAGGGAAAACAGCTAAGGGAAAAATAAAAGGCAGCTGTAAAGCAACAGTTCCCAGGCTTGATTCTGTAAATAAGTAGGTTCTCCGCCACCTTTTATATAAACAACAAGATTCTCAGACCGTCTTTTCAATAACAGGCAAATATTCTGTCCTTGGCTGCTCTGGGAACAGATGGCCGTTCTGGGAACAGATATAAAGGTTTTGAGAACTTTTCATATCATGGTGAGAACACTGATCTTGGTTTCAATAAACAAACCTCAGGTATTGTAAACAAAAGGAGTTGAAGTTTTCTCTACAGCCTATCGGGAGCTCATATTTTGCAATATGCATGAAGTGAATTAACACTGTTATAAAAGGTGTCTGATTTGATCAGTAAACTGGAGTCGATGCTCATCAATCGGATGGTTGTCTCCCTTCACTACAATGGGAAGCTACCTGTGAAAGTCCCTCATGTAGATGCCTGTGTCCCCAGGAGTCGGGCTAATGAGGAACATTGAAACAATGAGCAGGTAGATCAGGCAGCAAAAATAGAGGTGTCGAAGACAGACTTAGATTGGCAACATACGGGGGAGTTGTACCCCCTTAGCTCAATGGGTCCATGATGCCTCAGGCCATCAGGGTAGAGATACCACGTATAAGTGAGCACGAGACCGAGGGGTGGATCTAACCATGGACGGTATTTCACAGGTTGAAATGAGTGTGAGACATGTGCTGCCATCAAGCAGGCCAAGCGAGTGAAGCCCCTGTGGTATGGTGGGCGGTGGTCCAAGTACAAGTATGGGGAGGCCTGGCAGATTGACTACATCACACCGCCCCAGACATACCAAGGCAAGCACTAGGTGCTCACAATGGTAGAAGCCATCACAGGATGGTTGGAAACCTACCCTGTGTCCCACGCTACTGCCTGGAACACCATCCTGGGCCTGGAAAAGCAAGTCCTGTGGACACATGGCACCCCTGAAAGAATTGAGTCAGACAACGAGACCCATTTCAAGAATTGCCTTATCAACATCTGGGCCACAGAACATGGTATTGAATGGATATATCATATTCCTTATCATGCACCAGATGCTGGGAAAGTTGAACAATGCAATGAACTACTTAAAACTACCCTGAAAGCACTTGGCGGGGGAACTTTTATAAATTGGGAAATGAACTTAACAAAAGCCATCTGGATGGTTGACACTCAAGGGTCCATCAATCAAGCTGGTCTTGCCCAGTCTTAACCCTTGCACACAATGGATGGAGATAAAGTCCCTGTGGTACATATGAAAGATATTTTGGGAAAGATTGTTTGGATTAATTCCACCTCAGGCAAAGACAAACCCATCCGTGGAATTGTTTTTGCTCAAGGACCTGGTTACACTTGGTGGGTAATGCAGAAAGATGGAGAAAGATGTTGTGTACCACAGGGAAACCTAGTCTTAAATGAGAACTGTGTGTAAGGTTTCTTTGCAATGCAGATGGAAAATAGAATAAGGGTGGATCATGTTCTGGATTGCCAAGCAAATTGTATTCTATTTGCCATCTGTATGGCAGTTGTCTTCTGTTAAGTGGGCAGTTTTCCTTATCTCTTCTACAACCAATCCTCTCTCAGGGGAGATATGTGCCGATAATAAGCCTATTGAGCATCATTGCATGACTGATAAGAACTATAGCATCCTATTGTGAGATGGTCCGCCCAGAGGGAGGAACCAAGCATTTCTACCTGGATATCATCTTGAGTTTCTGGAACACCAGCATGGCTTCTCCACTGGATTTCCCAGAGAAACAGCTGGCTCTTCCACTTGAGCTTCAGAGGAAGACTACACCCTTTTTACAAGATCCCTGCTCCGGCAGAACCACGCCTCACACTCCAGGAGGAGTGCAGCCACATCTCCAATTGGACTGCTACCAACACCCTGACCAACAGGGTGTCAGGTTGTGCTCTGAGTCTGTCAGTGTTGTTTTTATTTTCTGCATTGTTTATTTTATCTTTTTATTTTCTTCCCTAATAAAGAACTGTTATCCCTGCTCCCATATTTTTGCCTGAGAGCCTCTTAATTTAAAATTTATAGCAATTTGGAGGGAGGGGGTTTTTGCTTTCCATTTCAGGGGAGGCTCCTGCATTCCTTAGCAGACACCTCTCTGTCGAAACCAAGACAAGAAAAGATTCGGTATTCATGGTTAACTTTGGCTGGGAGAAGAGTCATGCTTAGAGGCCCTCTGCCATTCTATTTTCATATTGCATCTTGGCTATTTTAAAGTGTCAGTGAAGTGCCATATAGTATATCTACAGAAACTGAGAAATTTTACTCCCCAATTTACAGAATAGTTGATAAAAGTTAGAAAATAAGTACTAGCTTATAAACGCATCTTATATCTAAATTTGTAGCTCTATTCAGTCAACCAAAGACATAACATTTTACACATTTGTCTCCTACAATAAGGTTAAGAAAATAGGCAGGTTGAGTTGTATGCAACTGATCTGTCAAGCAGGGTTTCTGAAAGGTTTCTCCTTAAAAATTAAATTGTATGCTTATTAACTTACGTTCTGTGGGACTGAAAGCTTTGTATTCAATGTAAAATGTTCTGTGGGTGACCAGCTCATCAGAATGGAATTTGATTGCAACAGAATAACCATATTCTCTGTTTCTGTTGTTTTCTGAAAGAGTTTTACAGTATCTAGCAAGGTAAAAGTGAGAAATATTAATTTCTAACCAAACTGACCACTACCATCCAGCTATGTCTCCTTTTACTGAGTGGTAGTGATGTCAAAAAAGCTTTAAGATAATGCAATAAGGATCAGTTGTATTTTGGTGTTAAAAACTGCCCCACAAAAGTTTTAGAAAGCCTGTTTATGAATTTCTCCCACTCTGCAACTTTTTTTGGGATTAGCAGACTTTGAAACAAAATATAGCAAGATGATCAATATCAGGGTCTACCTTGTAAACACAGGCTGCTTCAGGCATGCTTGATTTCATATTGCCCATTTAGGTTTGCAAATCCAAAAGTTCCACATCCAGGAAAGGATTAAATCATTCAGCCAAATCCAACAGCTGTTGCTTGTTTCAATTTGCCCCTTCCAAGAGACAAATTTCTCTGAATAGTGTTATTTTTAGTGTTTGTGTAAAAATTGCAATCACTGAAGAGCAAGTGATAAAGAAAATTAAACTTCTGATTACATAAACTCCTCACCCGCATCAAGACCACAGCCAGGAATTTACAGTTCAGCTGCAGCTGCATAAGATCTTGTAGTTTTCTACATTATTGCTCTAAGGGGAACAAAAGAAAAAGTAAATACCTGTAAGAAAAAAGCCAGGATGCTTAAATATGCAGAATTTCAAAGTGCAAATCAATGTCAAAAAATAATGTATTTACTCACCTAATGCCACCAATTTCTAACCAGTCTTTATCACATTTACTGGACCCTGGAGACTTCTCTTGAATTTGTATTATAAGAATTTTTATTGAGTGTTTGTAGCCAGGCAATGATGCCTAAAAATCAAAATATCAAAACCCTGACATGCATTCACAAAATGAAAACAGCCTTTGCTTCCAAGTTGTTCTACCTGTTCCTGGATTGAAAGTACTGCTTTTGTATTATTGAAATTAGTGCCTCTGAAGAACCAAAAAACTGCTAATTTAAACATCTATAGATGTTTAAATAGCAGGGATCCCAACTTTGGCTAGACTGTGCCTGATGAAGGAGTGTAAGCCTTTCTGCAGCCAGCATAAAGCACTATATCTGAGGTTCATGCTAGGTTTGTAATGCCATGTGTTCCTGTTTGGCACAGAGGTGAGAGTTTTGTGCTATAAGCTGCTAATAATACTGTGAAAGGTAGAGATGTATCAAGTTATATACATGAAAAGTCTTTTTTACCAGGGAAACTGAAAAAATAGGTAAATGCTGAATGGAGCAACATACCAACACATTAGGTGAGGAAAGTGAAGGGAGACGACCATCCGATTGATGAGCATTGAACTCCAATTTATTGATCCAGCTTACACACTTTTATATCTCATACTTATTGCAAAACCTGAGCTCATCATTGGTTACAGATTACATGCCAACCCCTCTTTTGTTGCTAACACCTGTGGTTTCTTGTTGAGGCTAATACTTGTTTTTCTCATCCTGTTGTTGACTTGTTATTTACCATTCTCAGGGCCTCCATGTTTTCCACCATGTTTTTCTCATCACTTACTCAAGGACATGGTGTTTATTGTTGTTAAGGAAAAAGCCTGAGAACTTGCTGCTTACAGCTGCCTTTTACTTTTTAACCAGCTGTATGTAATCATGGCCTTTTCCTATAAGCCATGTCTGAACAAAACTCTGCAACATATTTCCCGTTTTTCTTTTTTTGCTCAAGGAGGTTAGTCTGCCAGGTTTTTTCTATCATTCTACTGACCATATCTTGAATACAATTAAAAATACAAGGTAAAATAAGCAAAAGCATTAAAAGCACACCTAGTATCCCCATAAGGTTCCCCAGCCACGGTCCAAGCAATGGCTTTTACCCCAAAGGGTTAAAACCACCCCCAACTGAGCCATAATGTCCTGCCTTATCAGGCATTGCACGGTAGGTGGTACTTGGACTACTGAAAAAGAAAGCTGTTAGCTGTTTTTCATTCATGCGAACCCGGAGAGGAGGCGGACGGCTAGGGCTAATAATGCTGGAATTTGCTCCAGTATTGAGCAAGCCTGAAAATTATCCTTTCTGTCGTTGAAATTCCACTTCCACCCTTTTCTTGGGTCTCTCAGAAAGGTTCAAAGTCAGTAAGGTAAATCCTCTGGTGGATTCAAAACCATTTTTCCCCCTCTCTTGTCCTTTCATAGTCTGTAATCCCTCAGTCATTTGGCTCAAGTGGCACCAGCTGAGCAATTCTCAGTCCTTTGTTAATTTGGAGTGGTGGGAAAGGGGTATGCACCGTAACCATATAGTCCACACCAAAGACGCCAGGCAAAACAAATAATCCCAACAAAAACGCAGATGATCTTCCGAAAAGCAAAGCACTCAGCTTGACCCTGTGTAACAACAGGTCTGTGAATGCCTGTCGGGATTTTTCGTGGGTGCGGGATCATCAGCATAACTCCTATGGCAGCTGCCAGCTCCAAGCCAAGGCTCCCTGTGCTGGCGGGTTGGAGACAGTAGAGGGTGCTGATGCTGCAACGACGACTTGTGTCGGTGCATGGTCACTGTGGTTCTGGCACCAACTAGGCGTTGGAGGCAGTGCTGCTGACGTTTGAAGTGGTGCAAGAGCAGCTAACACCTGATTCTGAGAGGTCTTTGCCAGTTCTTATAAGCTTAGCCCTAATTGTTTGATTGCATCTACTACGAAGGCTTGTGCTCCTGTTGGCATTAAAGCCATCTTCTCTAATGCCTCCTCTATAGTCCATTTGGCACCCAGAGTATTAAACACGCTCCTAGTAGTAGAATTACAATTTTGAAGAGCGCACTCCTTGAGTAATGCCCCATTAAGATATTCTGGTACTCCAGCCCTTTCAATTGCGGCAGCAGCCTTATCAATAAATGACCCGAATGACTCTTCTGGCCCTTGCTTAATTCCCATGTACACGGGTATCCCTCCTGGCTCTTTTACCCTCTCTATAGCAAGCCTGACCAACCTCATAGCTTCCTGGCACTTATCAAAAATATAGTCTAACATCTGTTTGGCTGGCTCACTTTTCACTCCAAATTGACTAACAGTAGACCTCAGCTGAGACAGCAATTTCCAATCAAGGGCTGTAATAGTAGCCTGCATGCCCCCTCCCTCCTGCGGATTGAATACAACAGGACAAGCCAGCTCAGTAGCAGCGCTGATAACTTCCTCATCCCCCTTTTCCATAGCTTCTCTGGCAAGCGCAGCCCATGCCAACCTCCGCTCTCTTGCAATAGCCCCTGCTAGGTCATTTTCCGCTCCAGGGATCGGCTCATTGATTTTCAGGAGAATATCAGGTGGTCTTGGCCACAGCTTCTGTTGTTCAGGGGGTGCGGAAGCCTCAGAAGCGCACTGTATAGCCTGGCTTGCTGAAGCAGAGGAGGGCGGCGAAGCAGGTAATAAAACCGTCCTCATTGCAGGAGCTAATGATGTTCCCCTGTCCTGATCGTAATCTTTATTACACCCATGAGCAGCTGTTGCCTGCTGGGCAGCCTTTTTCTCTGCCTGAAACTGCAGTAATTAATTGTGAACGACCCTCCATAATTTACCTAACTTCTTGGCAGTTTTATCATCCTCTAAAGTAGCCTCCCATAATAAATCACCGAATTTACGCCACTCCGTTAACTCGTGAACCATATGGGGGTTAATAAAAACTCCCCTAGCATAGCCATAAGTCAAAAGCCCTGGTAAATCCTTTTGCAAATCTATCCCCTTAACCTGCCTTTTTTGTAAAAAAGCAGTAAATAAATCATATGCTGCTTGCCTTTTCATACCTAAATCGTCAGCGCTGATTGCAGCTCTTCATGGTCCAGCAGCAATATCGGCCAGGCTCGTCTATATGACACCCAGAGCACGGCGCGTCTCAGCTTCTTTTTTATCCGTTTTTTTTTTCTCTGCGCTTTTCTGCTGTCCTGGCTGCTTCAGGACCCGACCCGTGTCTTCACTCCTCTGTGGTGTGTTGCCATATCACATTGGGGTCACCATTTGAGGAAAGTGAAGGGAGACGGCCATCCGATTGATGAGCATCGAACTCCAATTTATTGATCCAGCTTACACACTTTTATAGTAGTGTTAATTAAGTCCATACATATTGCAAAACCTGAGCTCATCATTGGTTACAGATTACATGCCAACCCCTCCTTTGTTGCTAATACCTGTGGTTTCTTGTTGAGGCTAATACTTGTTTTTCTCATCCTGTTGTTGACTTGTTATTGACCATTCTCAGGGCCTCCATGTTTTCCACCATGTTTTTCTCATCACTTACTCAAGGACATGGTGCTTATAGTTGTTAAGGAAAAAGCCTGACAACCTGCTGCTTACAGCTGCCTTTTACTTTTTACCAGCTGTATGTAATCATGGCCTCTTCCTATAAGCCATGTCTGAACAAAACTCTGCAACAATTAGGCAGTTCGTAGAAATCATGAGCAGATTTTAAGTCTTGCCAAAGGACTTGCTTGAAATTCAGAGGTGAATTTCTGAACCAGAGAATGTCCTGGCTTTGCAGAATTCAGAATTCAGGGAAATACACTGTGGTATCTATCATGTGAGGCATGATTTACACGACCATTTTTTCTTTTTGACATAGAAGAAAAGATCTGATTATTATTAATTTTCTGTGGCTGCTGGGATTTGTCATCTTACACATTAATTTGTTGCAGTCAAATTCTCAAACTTCTGGAAGTTTGCAATATTTCCATCCCATAGCTGGTGCCTGTACATAGGACAGGAAAGAAATGCATGCCTGAGAAGAAGTCAGGTTCAGTGGTTTCACTAGGTTTTCTCTGTTTCATCTACATCAAAAGCCATTTCTCCCAATTTTGTGTCTACATAAAATAAAGAAAAGTCATCAATACTCAGAAAAGTTCCCAGCACTTACCTTGATGATCCAGGTGCAGTCAATATTTGGTGGGTAGTAACTTGGATAATAAGGAGAAGTCAGTGTCCCATTCCAGGAAATATATTGACCACCACATACTAGGAGAGAAATGCATCATCAAGGAGCACACTTATCTCAGCTGTATGAAAGTGCAGAGTCTTCTCTACATACAGAGTTTGAGGAATGCATTGTGGCAGTATTTAACTCACATTTTTCCTATTAACTGAATCACTGAAACTGAATTTTTCAGTATTAACTGAAAATCACTTAACTTCCATCTCCACATAAAACTGAATTTCTCTTTTTTTGGATCAAATTACAACTAAGGGTAAGTACAAAAAAGCCTCTGACTGAAGATTTTCTTTTTTAAAAATGCATTCTTTGATGGTAAGTGAAAGAAGCAGCCAGATGTGGATGCAACACACCTCCCCCTTCCAATCTACTTCTGACTTTTCTGTAGGTATTTTCAAAATTAAAAAGCAATTAGCCCAGTGAAAGTATAACTGATTAATTTCATGTAAACAAGGAAGTTTGTGTATCAGTTCTCAGTTTGAAAATGCCATATTGAGGTTTTATTTTCTACCAAGGACTCTATTAGATATCCAGTCCTTAGTGCTTCTGGTTCCCTTTAGGTAATATTGTAAATGCAAATATGAACATAACAGAAAATAAGATAATTTTGAAATTAAAAAAATATTGGAGCAAAACCTGGGCTAAATGTAATTTGAAATGCCCATCCTCAGAACAATAAAGCCATTTTAGTTAGTAATGTGCACGGATAAGTATTTGGATAAGCAGTGTGCAGAGAGACATAAGCTGAAATGTGGCAGTTTTGGAGGAGTTTGTCCTCAGTGACTTATTCCACACATTAAAAGGAAAGTCACTTGCTTCATTGTCAAAATTCTTTCACTTATACCTAACCAAACAACTGTGGCTAAACTTGATCCTGTGGAGCCCCTTCATCTCTTCTAAAATTAGTACTACAGTTCGGCATTACTTAAAATATTTCACCCCACAGGACTCATGTAAAATCCACAGTACCTCATAGATTTGGAATATAGATCTTAGGTTTGGAACACATTTTTCTTATTCAGTTAACTACACTGAACAATGCATTCAGAAAAAGAACAAAGAGAAACTAGAAGTGTTTGCTCTTTTCCATTTTCTTTAAACACACATTCTATGATCTGTGGATACATTGCCAAAACTGACAAAAGTAGCTGCTCTGTCACTGGGGCTATCTAGCTTTGCCCAGATAGTGCCTGTAGCTGTCTGTCTGTCTGCTTCCCTGCTGCTGCTCGGTGTTACCCATGCAATGACTGGCAAGTAAGGCTTGAGTAGTTATCAGGAAGACAAAGTCTCCCAGACCAAAGGATGTTCTCTCTTTGTTCAATTCTCAGTCTTTTGTAAAGCGGATCTCAATGATAATTGTCTACTTTATATGCCAACATTCCCTCTCCCAGATATGGTCAAGACAATATCAACTTTTTTAGAGGCAAAATCAGTAATGTGTGCTTTCATCAGATGCTTGTTTCTATTAATTACTTACTGATTTTAGGAACAGCTTGAAAGTGAGCTTTTAATATGTTGCTTTCTCCTCATTGGTCCAGTGAGAAGGTAAGCAAGATCACATTACTTGATGAAGTTAAACACACAACCAAAGGAGTCCAGGCCCCAGGCCCACACCATCTGGAAGGTTAAAAAAAAAAAAAAAAGGCATTAAAAAAATAATCCCAAAACACAAAACATTTCCCATATTCCTGTTGTCTTTGCTGGGAAACTGGGCAGAAGTAACACTGATCTGGTCATCTGTGTTCTAGAATATTCCCCTGGCTACCACTTCCCTTTTATTCTTCCATCCAGCTGATAGTACATAGGATGCTTGGGCATCCCAGCATTGATGACACTCTGCGTGTACGTCACCATTTTATTGCTTAACAAGTGTCCTGGAGTTTCTGTGCCTATAGAAGCATCAGAAAGGCAATGCCAGATTATGTTACTTCAGTGGTGATAGTGGCACTGAGAAGCAGAGGTTAGGAATGAAAAGGCAACAAGTGCCCGTGTAGCAGTGTTAAGCAGAATCTGTGCAACAAATGAACCCAAAGCATTTTCAATCTATCCATGTTCAGCCTGGTTTTGTGTCACAAAAACTATCACACAAAATGTGAAGTCCTATGCTCAGCAACTATTACTTCCTGCTGTTCTTTTACTTGTAATGTGAGGTGCTATTTCTTGCATCTGTAATTCTCTCTTATGCTTATTCCATTTTGCAACCTGCATCATATTTTGGACTTTTTTCATTTATTTATAACTCTATGATCATTGTGGGTCACTTCCAACTCAGAATATTTTGTGAGTGAATCTATACATTAAAAATTTCTAACAGGTTTCTCTTTTTCTATGCGCAGCAAATGAAAGCAATTAAGATTAGACCTCACAGTAACAGATTATTTCCATCACAGTCCTGCATCAAGTTCTTTGATGTAACTGAGGCCCAGATTGGCAGCATTAAAATAAAATTTTTTAACCTTAAATTGAAAGCACTTGTCTTCTGCTTTAGCAGGCTATTTCTTTCATGCGTTTGAAGTGAGGCGCTAGTGAATGAATCTCTGCTTTGCCTCTCCTGCAGACATTATTAAATCCTTTCTATCATAATAGCTGACAAAACATTTATAAAATAACAATTTAAGTACCTCCACGTTGCCATATGGAAATATTTCAGCCTCTTCATCAACCCAGTCAACAGCCTGGTTTATCTACTATCTGTACCTTCTGTCGCAGTATCATCAGGAAAGCAAGGCAAGCTATGAGAAGAGTTGTCCACGTGAGATTCTTACTCTCACAGCACACCTCCCCGTCTCAGCTTTAGCATGCTTTAGGATTTGTCACTGAGCAGATTTATTACTGCAGTTTACAGAAACTGGAGAGAATCAGTTCAGTCACCATGTGTGACCCTGGACCTCAACATTGGGGAATAATGGCTATCATAGTTACTGGCTGTCACGGATGGACATCCTGTTATTATTAGTTCTACTGCATGTGTAATAAGTATGTCACTAGGCTGCTTTTGATCCAAGAGCAAAACTAATAGACATATGCAAAACAATGCATTTTTTAGGGTGGCAGTAAAAGCAACCAAAAAAGTAAATTTTTCTGAAGTACCCTCGGGCTTTTAACATCATTTCAGTCACCAAATTCTGTTTTGGTTCTTTAACAGACAGACATCAATGCACATTCTTGAATTTTATCTTACAGCTTACTGCATCAATGTTCTCTGAATGTCTTATATCAGACACCTGTGTTGGTCTTGCTGTCTTCCAGGTGTTTTCATCTCATGGCCAGCTCTACATTTGTGGCTCCTAAAAAGCTAAGCCAGTGTTAATAATACACAATGGAGTAACAGTAGCAGCAATAATCCATAATAAGTAGCAGAACAAATGCAGGCCTACATCAGGAACAAGATTCTCCTTTGAAGTTTGAGAGTAATTCCTTACAAAAACCTTTTGTCCATTCCATGCCAACAATGGCAATCTGTTATGTCTTGTAGCATAGAGAGCAGTTAATTTTAGTACATTAATAGAGCTGAAGAGGACTACTCAACTGAGTTAAACCACTCCTAAACAAGTGCATTTCAGATTCCTAGCTGAATCTTCATGTCTAGCTAACCTCTTCCTGAAAGTTCCAAGAATTTAAGTTCTCCTCTCGAAACCATCCATCCTCAGATCCTACAATTTGTTTATTCATTTGGTTGAGGAAGACAGATTCCTTGTGCTCATACATGAAATTTAACTCTGAAAAGTAGAAGTGTAGCCTCTCAAATTTAAATATCATCTGAACCCACTTATGCAAATACACTACAGTGACTCTGAGGATGTAGCCTTCCAAACCCCTATTATGAGGAGGAATTCAGCTGTGACTGGACTGCCATAAAACATACATTTTCTGAAAGTAATAAAATATAATACTCTAAAATAAATTCTAATTGTAATTCTAACTCTAAAAATATATTAAAATTGTATGTTTTTGAGTTGTAAATGTAATTTTATGGAAAGGAACCCATTAGAATTAGTGATAGTGTAGAATAAACCCCACAGAAATTTGTAATGGGTTCCCCAGGGAAGGGGTGATGGCACCAAGCTTGTTAAAGTTTAAGGAACATCTGGACAATGCTCTTAATCAGATGGTTTGGTTTTAGGTAGTCCTCTGAGGAGAAGGGTGTTGGACTTGGAAACCCTTATCAGTGCCTTTCAACTTTATTAGGAGATCTTTTGATTACGCTATCCAAGATTTTAATTAAGTTGTATTTCAAATCTCAAATTCAAATTTTATCCATCTAGCACAGTTTCAGAGAGCTTCTGTACAGCTCAGTAAAGCATTTTTGCTCTGTATCTTACCTCGTAATGATCTTGTTCTGCAGTGGAAGAAGGAAATCATATGCTGACAAGTGGTATGATGCACAGCTCTCTGGAGTGACACCATGCAGAGTGATAACTACCACGTAATTAGGAGGAACTTACAGTCTCCATTGATAAAAAGACTTTTTGGGATTCATCAGAGTTAGTCCTGTTGTTACCTGGCTTGGAATACAGGTCAAAGGATACTGCTACAAAGTAGAGTGTAGATCAGTATGGAAAAACTGTTAGACTGAAAGATAGGTTCTTGGCTAAGATTTCTGACAAGGTAAAAAAAATCACGTACTCATATTTCTTGACTCCTCTATTCCTTTTTTGCTCTTACGTTTACAATTCTGTTGCCCTTTTCCTATCAGACTGCATCACCTTCTCCAGCTCTGGCCAAGGGAGTACAGAGCCTCACCATCATAAGCAGGAACTGATTTAGCTGCAATTGCTACAATATCTGCCTAATTGATCACTAACAATATAAAACCAAAATTGCCTAGTCACAAGCCAAATTATGTACAATTTCTTAGAGGTTTTGTTGGGTGTTTTTTTGTTTGCTTGCTTGTTTTGTTTTTGGGGATTTTTTTAGAAATGGCAAAAATCAGAGCCATAGCTCACTGCAATAGAGGGAGCTATTAAATTTCATCCATTCTAGTCAGAACATCAGAATAAAAGCTGTAAGGTATTTCCATCCAGCCTTCATTTGAAACACAAGACATGAAGATTCCATAACCTAGTTTAGTTCATAAGCCCTGTGAAAAATGCCATTTTTCTATCACAGGTTTCCACTCCCCCTCAAAGTGGCATCACTTGGGATTGAAGCATAATTTCCTGATCTTATCATCACATCATATTCTGTGGAATCGGAAACGGAAATATAATAATTATGAGCTACACAAGCAAAGACAAGAAATGGAGAAAGAAAAATAGACAGAATAGGTATTAAATGACAGGTACATTGATACCAAAAACCTCCATTGTAACAAGACCAAAATCTTCCTCCCCAGAACTGAACAAGGGAACTGCTTGTTTATTACAGATTTCTTTTTGTTCCACTGGGGTTAATTTTTCAAGAAAAGTAACCATATCTTGTGGTGCCCAGAATATATTCCAGAAGTGAGCTTGAAGCCCAGATTCTCCTTCACTGTGAAAGGAAAAGAAATTCACTATAAATACATTCTAATTACAATTTTGGACATGGTTTTCACTGGTCTGCAATTTTGGCTGGCACAGTTTCATAGCCAGCTGAACTTCTGTGCCCAATAGTTGCTGCTAAACATGGTGACAAAAAGCTCTTTTGTTTAACAATTAGTTTTGTTGCATTTTTATACAGTAGGACTATTTTTGACATATACAGATTAAACAGCTACGCACTGAGACCGAAAACCACATCTTGAAATCCTTCAATAGTTTTTATGAAATTGGATGCTACCATCCCTGCTGTATAATTTTACACTTTTAAGATCAGATAAAAGCTCCAGAGACATTGCAATTAAATTTTTAATGGAAGCTATGATTTTATGCTAGTAATTTCTTTGCTCACACAATTTTTGTTGAAATAAAGAATCCTTGAGCGCACACATACAAGTTATTACTTCAGTGAATCCACCACAATCCTTTGAAATCACCTGTGCACTGACCATTCAGGATTTTCAGAAACTACCAGGATTGTAATAACCTGCTGCTCAGTGGATTTACATTTCTTACCAGGAGCTCAAATAGTGTTTTGCCCCAAATTACACATATAAGGATTTGTTTTCAGAGGTTGAAAGATAACTTTATTTGAATGGATAAAATAAGATCTTGCAAGAGCTGAATTATTATTTCAAAAATTAAAAGTAGATTAACAGACAAAAAAACAACCCATAGACTCAGGAACGATTAATCAAACTTAATTTCTCACAAATTCTACAGGGCAGGACAGAACTCACACTATAAGCTTAAATCATTTCTGCTTTTTTAATTCTCTTATAGTGATGTGCATTTTCTTCTAGATAGCAAATTTAAAATGCATTAAAGAAAAACAGGAAAACACAGCTGAATATATCACATTTCCACCAAACCTTCTTGGTAAGATGGGCAGGAGCAAACATGCAGACTTTCCTAGAGAAAGACCATGGATGGCATTAGTGTTAAAAAAGAAGAGCTATTGTAACATATTTTTGTGTATTTACTCTCATAGTTTTAAAGAGATAAAAATATTGCAAATTGAGATAAGATCTTTCATGTTATCAGCTACATCACATCTGAAACCCTTATCTCTCTGGGCTATTTCCTTTTTGTATGCATCTCAGTCTGGGAAAGTGTGGGGAGGGGGGGAGAGGAATTTTTGTAATTTTAGTTAAGAGCAATTTATGAAGAATGGGGGTCAGTGGACACAGGAGTAGACAGAGATAATTTTTTTACTGTGTTCCTACTGCAAAGCTTAGCTGGTGGCTCTTACCTGCCCTGCGACCTGTTCAGCACCTGGTACTGGAATGCTGTACACAGAAATCTGGCTAGAGGGAAAAGCCTGCAGCATGATGCCATGACAAATGCCTTTTGACAAAGCTAGCAGCAACCCCATAAATGAACCCCGTTTCTTAAACAGAATAGCTGCTCTCCCCACTGCACATCCCGAGCTTCTCTTTTTTCACCTTTGCTGTACTGCTTCAATTGGGAGCCAGCTGATTTGCAATCAAAGAAGGTGGGCAGGAAAAGTTACCATCACTGTAACTCTGTTTACCTGACAGGCTAAGTAGGATATGGATCCCATAATTTGAAAATAGATCACTTCTTTCTGAAACATGGGAGTAGGGAAATAATTGACGACACAATGCAAAGGACATGCAGACATGCAATTTACAGATAAAAGGTCCCAGGGCAATATGAATGAGGCAACTTCTAATAAACACCCTGGGGAATTCATAGAAATATCTGTAAGAGAGGAGACATGCTCAGTTCCACATGTCACCTTAGTTTTCCAGCTTCAAGACAGTACCACAGAATAAATATGGTAAATAAATTGCAAACCAATTTATGTTCACATTTCCTGTTTGAAAGGAAAAGCAGCTTTAAGTCAGCAAACCATCAAGCTCAGCATGTTCTGCTTATAAAATAAGAAAATCAAGGATGTGTGTGGGGAAAGAACATATTTGATACATGTTGAAAGAGAGAGAGAGAGCACAAAGAATAGAATCTATAAAAGCAAAAGGAAATGGAGAAATCTCAGCCCCAGAAAAATAATACAAAGGGAACAAAGGGAATAAAACAAATCTGAACAGTTCATACAGAGATTGTAAAAGGGGTTAATTCGAAGGCAATCCTCACAGCTCAGAAATTCAAGCTACAACTGCAGATGGATGGCTTTGTTTAAGTCCTCTGCTTTTCAACAGCCTGTCTCTGCTACACATACAGAACCTGCTGACTGATGCTTTGCCCCTTCCTTCCTTCCTTCATGGAAAAGGCAAAAAAAACACCCAGAAAAAGGCCTAGAGGAAACAAACCACTTTTACATAAATATTATACCAGGACCTTTTAGAAACAATGGTTTTATTTCATCAAGGACAAGATCATTGCAATAACACACATCACCATGTTTATTCATCTTGATAAGGTTGCCTGAAGCTTGAGAGAATTCAAATTCTTAGGTGGATGAACTTGAAAATAAAGAAATGAAAGCACAAAAGAAAAGTTAGTAGCTCCAAATCATGCAGTTAATTAAAATGAAAGCAGAAGGAGTAAGCATGCGACAAATCACTTATAGCAGCAGAATTTGTGATCTTCAAAAATTTGGGCCCTATGGATTTGAAAGGATTGAGTTCACTTTTTAGAGTGTCTCCTCTCTCTTTCATCAGCTGTCCTTGCTGGAAGAGGTAGTGGAAGTAGTATTTGCCAGAGTGCAAACAGTTCACTGCTACTTCACTGTTACTTCTGTATTAGCTGCACACATCTCGGAGGAAATTATGAGTGAGCCTCAAGCTCTCTGTTTACACAATCAATTGTATCTTCAACTTCCTCACAGGTGAATGCACCTGCATTTAGTTGGTGCCTTGAAAACAAAGTTTACTGTTGCACCTCCCACCATGTCTCCAGACATCTGTGTGGAAGGAACAAGCACCACAAGGAACAGCCTCCTCCTTTTTCACCAGAGCTCAAATTCCTGGTATTTATTAGCCCCATATGTGAGCCAGAATCAGCAAGAGACATGCAAAGAAATTCCACCTGTGAACAGTTCCTCCAAATATGGTTTTAATGAAGATATCCAGGACATGTTTTATTCCATGGAAATAGTTTTCAAGCTACAAGACTGAAGGCACATATTTATGTATCCATGGTGCAAAATTTGACACTCTTGTGTAGACACCTGGAAAATTTGGTCTTCCACATCCATAACCCCAGCTCACAATGCCAGTCAAAAACCATTTTCCATCTCCATTGCTTTGACATGACAGTGGTCCACCAGAATCACCCTAAAAATAACGTATCGAGTTATATGTGTTTACAACATGAATTATGAAAACTGAGGAAAAATCCATAGGAGATGTTTTGCATAATTCCAGTGATTATATTTTCAAATTCAGATAGTTCAAAGTTGATAGGGTTTTATTTCAAGTAGATGGCATTGCACAGTTTTACCAAAGTTTGCTCTTTCACAAGAGAGAAGGTAATTCTCATTCTTTAAAGACACTAATAAAGATATGACTTTGCATGGACTACATTCGAAATTCACTTTTTTTCCCCTAACCTTATACTTAACCATAAACCCCAAATCTGCTACTTAACATATACGCACTTTCATAGGTTAGACATTAAAACTCAAAAATAGTAGGCTTTAAAAAATATTTTTAAATAAGGTAAATACAATAAAGTATTTAATAATTGTATTTTTTAGTTCAAATTAAAGGTAAATGGAAACAGATGGAATTCCTTAATTGTTTTGTGTTGGGTTTTTTCTTTTTTTTTTTTTTTAAAGAAGGAAAAAGAGCCTAAGGATTGTCCTCTGGTAGATACCAGTCAGCATATAATGTTTAGAGGCCCATAATGTCTTTGTAATTAGAGCAGTTAAAATTAAGTCTGTTCTAGACTTCAAAATTTGTTACAGGATCTCATCATGCTGTAATACAGGACAAAGCAACTAGGACTCTTCCTTTACAGCATCTTCTTTTAGAAATACATTGGCAGAGCATCAGGTATAAAACCATTTGCCATCATTTGGGGAAAATTCCTTGGACCAAACTGATACTTCCCTGTAAGGCTCTGCTGTACACAGAGCATGTCGGAAAGACACTCAATGGCAAAGTAAACTTTACCAAAATATTGGGTGCAAGAAACAACTTCTAAAAGCAAAAGGTGCATTTGGCAAAATTCAGATGTTTTGCAAGAGAAGTGTCTTCTTGCTAGACAAATATTTTGTTAGAGCTAGAAAACTATTTTGCCTTCACTCTACAGGTTGTTGGATTATGCAGGTTGGAAGGGACCCTTCCAAGGTGCTAAGGTGCCACTCATTCCTCTAAAGCAAGACTAGATTGAATTGCCTCAAAAAAGGTCAAGAATTTAGATGACTTTTTTTCCTTCCATGACAAAAAGGATTTCACATTTAGAGAGTAAAATTTGTGAGTTTTCTCCTTCATTCCTAGGACAAAAGTAGAACACCAGCACTTTTCACAAAACAGGAATACCACAATTTGATTAGCTCTAACAACTGCCAGACACAGACGCAAGTCATTTGCCTCTACAAAAATGCAGCCAAAATGATGTCTTTCCCTGGCTATATCTTGAGTGGCCATAAATAAACAAATTCTCCAGTTACTGAAAACAATACTTAATATCAATGGCCTCACTAACCTCTAAAAAACAGCTGGAGCATTATACTCCCTCAGCCATTGTAGGCTTATTCATTTTTATGTAGATCAGTGAAAGTTAGAACATCTTGAAGATTCAAGATCTTCATCATAAAAAAATAGGTTTATTATTATTTCAGCAGTAAATGTACTACTATTTTAGCAGTAAATATGCATGGTTTATATAAGTATAGTATAATACAATATGGCATATAAGATCTGTAATATTATATCTGTAATATGTCTTATAGATATATACAGCGTATCTATGGGGTTTTACTACTTTTCACTAGAAGTAAATTCAGCACTTTACATTTTTCATCTTTCAGTTTTTCCAGATCAGAAATATCTTACATTTGCAAATTTATGCCTAATTGTCTGCATCTCATTATACAGTCTTGTAGTTCCAAGTTGGAGGGGAGGGATTCTGAAAAGACACAAGCTACTTTCTCAGTTTGTGTTTTTTTCAGCTGAGAGTCTATTATGCTGAAAATTGCCTGATTTCAACTTGTTATTGGGACTTAGAGTTTGATTGGCTTTTGACCTGTAACTGAAATTTAGTGATGTTACTCATGCACATAAAGCAGCAGAACTCTGAAATCATCCACAGAAGAGATTTGCTGACAGACAATACTTATATTCCTCTTTTTCAGAACTGAAACATATTGACCACAAAGTGGTCTGCCAGTCAACTTTACACCTCCTCATGCAGCAATGAAAGACCAGATAAGTTCCTTGCAGAGTTTGCTGAGGTACATACTTTACACCCGTCTCTTTTCCCAGATGATAGCCCAGCACAAAACATCCTAGCTGTGATAATCCCGTATGTGGAATGACATAATGTCTGGTCAATAATTTCTATCTCTGCTTTCTGAAGAACTGCTGAACCTTCATCATCTGGAAAACAAATTCAACAGCATTTTACTCATCTATTGAAATATAAAACAAGAAGTCTTTAGAAAATATCCATAGATACTTTTGACTATTGATTTATTCCAGATTCCAAACAACTAACTGCAACAGAGCAGAAAGGCTCTTCAAACTATCAGACAATTTTTTAATGTGATCTGAGTCCTTCAGACACACCAAATACAATGGCATAATCACTAGGATTGGCCAAAATGTTTTTTCTTTTTTTTTTTTGTTTTCCCCCATAACATCTCAAGACTTCTTAATTTGCTCTCTTTTCATTTCAAAAAGGAAACTGAATTTTACAAAGATATTTAGACCATCACATGATAGATTTGCAGTGAGGGCAGCATAATATGAAGGAGCCAAATTCACGATTAAGATTATGAGTCAGTTTCAGGATGCAAATTCTCGTAGCATAAAGAATCAATTTCCACATTTGCTCCTTTCTATCTGAAAGATTTGGTGAAACACCTCTTTTCTGTAAGGTATATAACTTAATAATAACAGAATTAACTTAAAATTTCCCCTCCTTTCCATGCAGCAGACCCAATCTCATCGCCAGGTGATCCTTTCAAAATCTGGTTATAGCAAAAAAGCCCTCACCTGCCTACTCAGATATGCAAGCACTGGTTTACATAATAAAACTTTATTTTAGGATTTGATAAAGCTAGTATGTAATAAGGTATACTTTGAAATTAAAAGATTGATTTGGCACTTGTATTATAGAAGCTCACAAAGGGAATAGAGGGAAACAGGAAAAAATACACCCTCCTTTTTTTTTTTTTGAGACATTACATGCATCTTTCAGATAACCAGATTCTTAATTTTACATATGATTAACCAGCAGGCCAAAGAGAAACCACACCATGTGTCCCACACCTCTGAGGGGAAAAGAAGGGAAAGATAGCCCTGTGATATTTTTGTGTAAGTGTAGCTCCCTACACTGACAACACAATATGAAAGGCATTCAGATCCATGGGACCAGCAGCCAAGTTTCCTGAGCATACAAAGGTACATGCACACTGCCCCAGCTGTGAAGGCTCCTGGAACAAAATCATATCAATGGAAGGGATAAAACTCACCTGCTTCCTGCTTTTGGCCCCAACCTGTTATCCAGCACTTGTCCCCGCTGCGGGCTTTGTGGGAATAGGGAGGTAGGCAGATGGGCTGGATGAGGTGGCCCATGGTGTCCGGCCAGGGCGTACTCAGCTGCAGCAGCGCAATGTCGTAGTCATAGTTCCTGCTGTTGTAGTACTCATGCACTACAATCCGCCGCACCGCAGACACAAACTTGGCATGGCCCTGCATCTGCATGCCCAGGTGGGCACGCCATGCTCTGGGGTCAGCCAGCCTGGGTGGGAGCAAACAAAGATGTTTTGTCTTAAAAAAGTACCTCAAAACAGTCACTCTCAGCAGGACTGGGAAAAGCAGAACACAGCACCTCCATGCAGTTCAGACTCCAGAACCTAAAGGCACTTGTGGATTCTGGCCATGTTTGGGACAGATATAGAGGGAAGACTGCTTACTTGCTCCCTTGAAAGCAGTGGGCTGCAGACACAAGCCATTCTTTCGATATCACTGATGCTCCACAGTAAGCAGCTCCCACAAAATGAAGGCTGACCTGCCAGGGCCATTCACCTTCCTCAGTGTTTGAGCCACCCACAATCCGAGGGATGAGGTTGCTGATCTTGCTATTGCCACAACCTGCAAGAGATATTTCAGGTCATAATCTCCATTTCCAGTACTTTCCTTTAATGAGGGGGCTTCCCACACATGGCGTGAAAGAATATTACACTTTGAAATATTTTGAAATCTATTTCATTCCCCTTTTATAATAATAAAACTTCTCTCTTTGGCTATTCTATCAGTTAAATCAGAGATGACTCCATAAAAAGGCACGAGTCTGGAAATTTTACTGAGTCCCTTTTCTATCTCTGCTACAGAAATTAGCCCAAAATATTTCTTGTGTCAAAAATGTCAAGGGATCCATTGATTTAATAAGCATCACAGTGAATATATACAAATAGGCAAACCCTCATCTCTTTTTGATACTGCCAACCTTGACCTGAAAAGAGACCAACCAGAAAGAAAATCAACGTCATCAAAACACTTGCCAAAACAGTGGGAACGATACAAGAAAAATGTATGTGGAGACTGGATATTTATTTGACAAACAAGGTGGTACAATCATTATTTTATATGGAAATGACTGACTGACAATGTATAATACTAACAGGTGAAGAAGTTATGTCTCATCAGCTGAGGAAAGTGAAGGGAGACGACCATCCGATTGATGAGCATCGAACTCCAATTTATTGATCCAGCTTACACACTTTTATAGTAGTGTTAATTAAGCTCATACATATTGCAAAACCTGAGCTCATCATTGGTTACAGATTACACACCAACCCCTACTTTGTTGTCAATACCTGTGGTTTCTTGTTGAGGCTAATACTTGTTTTTCTCATCCTGCTGTTGACTTGTTATTGACCATTCTCAAGGCCTCCATGTTTTCCACCATGTTTTTCTCATCACTTTACTCAAGGACATGGTGTTTATTGTTGTTAAGGAAAAAGCCTGAGAACTTGCTGCTTACAGCTGCCTTTTACTTTTTAACCAGCTGTATGTCCTTTTCCTATAAGCCATGTCTGAACAAAACTCTGCAACAATCAGCACAAAAATCTGAACTCTTAATTGGAAAAGCAAGGAAGAAAGGCCCTTCTGTAGAGTCTCTGTCCATCCCTAGTGCTTGTGCATCTGCTCAGGAGTTTTAGTCCCACACTCCCACACACAGGTTTCTGGATCCTTTCCTGAACACATCCAGAAAGTCAAATGTAGCTTTAATGTTTCCAAATAAAAATATACATGTGGCTAGTCTCTTAAGACATCCTACTGGATCCAAGGCAAGTGCTGACAGATTTGTCATACAGGCAGCAAGCCAGAGACAGCTGAGGGTCAGGCAAAATCCTAAAATGGTTTGGTTTGGAAAGGAGTTTAAAGATAATCTAATTGCAACCCTCCCTCCCATGAGCAGGGACACCTTCCTGCTAAACCAGCTTACTCAGGGTTCTATCCAGCCTGGCCTTGAACAATTTTGGGGATGAGGCATCAATAGCTTCTCTGGGCAGCCTCTGCCAGGGCTTCACCACCCTCACAGTGAAAAAGTTCTTCCTTATATCTAAATCTGCCCATTTTTATTATAAAGCCATTCCTCCTTGTCCTATCATTACATGCCCTTGTGAAAAGTCCCTCTCCAGCTCTCTTGTAGGCTCTTTTAGGCACTGGAAGGTGCTAAAAGCCTTCTTCCTAAAGCTGTCTCTTCTCTAGGCTAAACAACCCCAGCTGTCTCAGCCTGTCTTCACAGGAGAGGTGCTCCAGCCCACAGATATCTTCACAAATCTCCTTTGGACTTGTTCCAACACATCCATGTTATGTAATATACTTGAGACCATTCAGTTTAAGCAACTAATCCTAACCCTACTTTTATTGCTACTACAGTGACAATCATCTGTTTACTTTACATCAAAACAAACTTAAAAGGTTGTACAGAGGTTACTTTAGGAAGATTTAAGAGTAGAACCTGACTTGATGCTATGAAGTATTGGGGTCTTCACCATCTGGAAGAATCAGAGAAGTGAAAAGTTTGTGGTTTTTTTTCCGATTGCAGCCATATCACTCTGGAAGTCCAAATACACTTCAACTTCAATGAAATGCCTGGCATTGCTGCAGACAACAAAAGTTGCTGCTTCCCCAACTAACCAAGTTCATTCTGTAATTAACCCTGCTGCCCTAATCCTCAGCACAGCTGCAATAAGTAGCACAGCTTTTTAAGGCTTCCCATAACTGTAAGCCCATCCTCCCACAGGAACTTGGCAAGTTCTGAAACTAGATCTGTGGTCAACTGATAGCTGATCATTACCCAACCATTGCAGAGAGAATGCAATAAAAATTTAGTACCTGCAGCCCAACTTGTACCCACTCCAAAACAGGAAGAAATAAAGGTATTTATTGTGTAAAAAGTTCAAAGTTCAAAAAGATGAATATTTGAAAGAAACTTACTGCAGCTGCTTTCATCACTTCCGTCAACACAGTCCACAGTCCCATCACACCTTGCATATTGTTTCCTAATGCAAATATTATTCCTGCACTTGAATGTGTGGTTGGTGCAGGGAATACCTGAAATAGTTGTGAGGAAAAAAACCCAAAACAACCATTAGCTCAGCTTAATGCACAAAGACATGTCTGCACAGATAGAAGATGTGCATATATTAGTAGGTAGGAAGTAATATGACCAAAAAAGCACTTTGGTGGGGATGGCTTAACCTCTAAACAGAATAAACTATTCAAATAGAACTGCATCTGTACTTGGGTGGGCATTTACTTGGCCAAGTCCAAACAAAGATTTCTTCCCATCTTTTCCCACAGCACTAACACATACAGATATAATAGTGAAAATTAGATGTAGAGTGTAAGGATAGCAAGAGAAAACGTCCAGTACTCTGGAAAGGAGCTCTCCTTTGTAGTTCAGTATTAAATGTGAAATGAAAGACTGCAGTGAAAGCAGCCTTTTAAACCAGTATTATTAACTAGCCTTATTAACTACTGTATCCAGTAAAACAGCAACCCCAAAACTCGGCATTTTCCTGTTTTCCTGTGACTTGCAATAAATGCACTCAAACCCAAACAATTTTTCTTGTCAATGGACAGAAGCATCCTGCAATCATTTAAACCGATTGTCTTGTGGGAGTAGTAAAAAAGTTTTCTTTTAAAAAGTTACTTGCAGAACTTTTCAGTTGTGCTCCCTTTCATAAGTCCCTTTCACACCTCACAGCATCCATTTACTCTAAAAAGTTCAAGAAGGTTCTGATTCAAAATTTTTATTTGTCTAATGCCAAATTTACAGCTTCTGCTAGCCTTATAACCCTGAGAACTATGACAGAGGAGCCATCATTGTAATAGCTATTTTACAGATGGTAAAATGGATCCAGGAATTAATTTGCACAGATTATGCAGTAAAGAGATAAAATCTCAGCTTCCATTTTAAATCCCTAGATCCCCATCATGCACCTGAAGTACTTAATTCTTCTGCCAGTATTTTGCAGAAACAGATGTTCATGGGCTTATTAAAAAGAAATAGTTTAAAATCTTTAACGGCTTGTTTATAAGTGTATCAGAAGAATTAAACAGAATTATATAGCTCAAGTGAGATTTGACAGTGCCTCTTAACCTTTTGAATGCAGCATCCAGAATTCAAGTCAGGAATCGACAGATGACAAAAGAGAGGAAAAAGTTATTCAGGAGAACAGCCTTACTGTGGGTGCAGTTCTGCTCATCTTTTCCATTCTCACAATCACTTACTCCATTGCAGGCAAGCAAGTTGTCCTGTATTGCAAAGCTGGAGTTACAGTTCCACTCAGGGACAACTTTAAAAATATAAGCCAAATCAGGTACAGAAGCATTCCTGTAAGTGCTAACACATCCCCTTCTGACTATGTCTGGGTACAACATTTATTCCTTCAAGGATGGGCAATACAAGGCAATACATTCCGATACAAGGATGGGCATCAGTGCCACGTTATGCATGGAGAAAATAGAGCACAAAGGAGTTGAGTGAGTGCCCCAGGTGGTGATGCTTAGTATCACTCTCATCTACTCTGTGAACCCCTCTTTGTTGTCCCCCCACAAAAACAACTCACATCAAAATGGCACAGAACTTCATTAATAATTGCCAGCTTTTATCACAAATGGAAATACATCCTACTACAGCTATTACTGCACATCTAAATTTCTTCCTCGTGCTCTTCAGTGCATATCTTCTTTATTCTTGGTTTTGTCCCTTGCCGGTTAATTATGAATTTAGCATTCAAGAGACTGACAGATAGTCTGTACCCAGATGTACAAAAGAATAACATCTTTTGTTATTCTCATTAAAAAATTTCACCTTGTTTCAGTTGCCTTCTAAGATTAGAGAATACATTCACTGTTTTCCAGTCAAGATCTCTAATAAGTGAATACAAACCACAAGATAGTTCATCACTTTCATCAAAGCAGTTGTTTATGCCATCACAGCGCTGCATCTGCTGAATGCATAAGCCAGTAGAACACTTGAAATGTCCAGGTGGACATGCTGGAGGTTAAAAAGGGAAAAAAAATAATAAAAACAAAACAACAAAAAAAAACAGACAACCAAACCTCATGATTTATTTTTCACAAATATTGCCAGCTTGTTTCAATTTACAGTCACTAAGCTGCTCCAAGGAACAATAAAATTGATCTAAATTTAACAGTCTGTATATATTTCCAGCACTTAAATTGAATTCAAATGTTGAAAACTGGGATTTAAAGAAGAGGAAAAAAATATCTTTAAAGTTCCAGTTCAGCTGTTCCCGGAATATGTACCAAGGTTCTCTAGGGCTGGAACAAATAAGCCAGTGTTTTATGGTGCAACACAAGACTACTTAGAAGACCATCTTTGTTTTAAAGGACATCTCACTTCCAATAACTAAAATTTGCAGCACTTTGCAACTTTGGTAAATAACCTGTGTTGAGGAGGTGTATGAACTACATAATTCTGCCTTATAAACTAAAATAATCAAATTTCTCCTCTTTTTAAATATTCTACATATACACATTGAAGAGAGTTCCTCTAATGCGACAAGTAACTATGTCTAGAAAGTACTGCTTCTCTCCCACCTTAAAAAGAATATGTAAAAGTAACACAGGTGAGAGAAAGTACCAGTAAACAGGTTGTATTTTACAGGACTGAAAAAATTTCAGTCTCAGAGTTTATCAATTTTTTGAGCTGTTTTTTCAGCTCAGATTTCTGATTTGCATGCATTGTATATAAATACATGGAAACACTGATATAAGCAGATGGTTGTTTGGTACTCTTTTCATTAGCTATAAGCCTTATAGCAACAGAAAAATTGTAAACAAAATGTTGGGGATTAAAACAAACAGGAACAGACTTCAACTGACTGCACCATGGTTATAGTCATGCAGGAAGCTTTGAGGACTGTGCAGAAGAGAACAGTGTGCATGCAGGAAAGCAGAGCATGCTGCACATGCTCACAAACCTTAGATGCACAGCCTAGAAATGTTCTTTGTTTGTTAGTCATCTGACTTAGTGAGATTAGAAAAGAAAATTAACTGAAACCCAACAGGTAATTTCCTGCATAAACTTAATTAGGTTCTACTGGACCCAAAAAATGCTACTTCACAGATCTGAATTGCAAAGAAGGGTTGAAAGAGATAAAATCCATCTTACGCTGGCCGATGTTGTAACTGCCATATTCCACCAGCAGGGGCCTCTCAGAGACCTTCGAACTGCACTGCAACTCCACGCTGACAGCAGAACTTGTGACGTGGAACACTGTTTGGTGATCAACATAGTAACCACAGTACCTGAAAGTGTCCAGGCGAGTTCTAGAGCAGCCTTCATGGGAAAACTGCCTTATATACAATTTAAATGTCAACACCACTGAAATTCAGAAATACAGTCAGCTCCCATACTTTAATTAAGAACCAAAACCAAAACTGTTTCTCAGTAGCTACCCAGCCTTCATCCACCATTAACATTGTGGAAATTTACTTCTCAGTGTCCCACCTTCAAATAAATAGTCCTAAAAAGAATGCCTTGAGTGCACATATACTTTAAATTGCTATTTTGGCAAAGAAGTTCCTTGGACTTCTGCCTAGGTGCCACTTGACTCAGAGAAACCAAAATACTTTCTGATGCCAGCAAATATTTAATCCATCCATTTTAAATGAATTTCTAATGTTCCTTTCATCAAATATGCCATTCTCTACCAGGGGATTGGGGCTGGGCCAACAAAAAACTAGATTGAAAAAAAAAGCAAAGAAGAAAAAACAATCCCCACAACCAAACAAAGCCTCTTTGACAAGGGAAAGGTTGTTGAATTATTATTTTTAAAATGGAGACTGTTTTAGAGTTAGTAAATCAGTGAACATCAACAGTACAGGATGTTCTAGAAGTGGAAATAAAGATTCCCTCCTCTGCTCAACTAAAATGTCTCAAAAATGCAACACTTAAAAGAGAAACATCTGGCTTTAATATTCCTGCCAAAATCAAAGTACATATGAATTTTAAGTAGATTTAAGAGTACAGGCGGCTGCATTGATTTTTCGCAGACTTGGCACACACACTTGTTTGACAGCAGTACAAGGTCACTCACTGACAACAAAATGTACGCAAAGAACAAAAGAAAAAAATTGATTGTTGTATTGTTAAATGGAGCAGTGGACTATTAGCCAGAAGTAAATATTCCCCTTGTGTATTTTTCCACATCAAACATTGCACCAGGACTATTCTTCATGTCACCGAATGGAGAAAAATTGGTCAGTGATTTCCATGTGAACAGATGTTGCCTCAGTGTCCTGAGCATCCCAGTGAGGTCTGCCAAAGGGAATGGACACATTCATATGTTTTCATGTATGCCCTATTTCACTGTACTAAAATCAAACATCTTGTCAACAGATCTAGGGGCATCTGTTCCAGCAATATGAAAAATAAAGGAAGAAAACAATTTAGAAAATAAGACTTCTCTTTGACATCCTGGAAGCAGATACAAAAATCTGAGTTAATTTTACAGCTTCTTACTATAGCAAAATTAATTGTAAAAGAAGCCCCAAACAAAGAAGCAAGCAAACAAACCCTCAAAGCCCAAAAAAACCCCCAAAAACCCCAAAACCCAAAACAAAACCCACCAAAAACAAACAACAAAAAAACCCAACACCCCAAAACCCAAAACAAAACCCACCAAAAACAAACAACAAAAAAACCCAACACCACCAAACAACAACAAAAACCACAAAAAAACCCAAACCGACCAACCAACCAACAAAACAGAAACCATAACAAAAAAAAAAACAAAAAAACACCCAAAAAAACCCAAAAAACCCACAAACCAAACAAAACCAAACCAAAAACAACCAAAAAACCCTCAAACCTCAAAAAACACCACTAACTACAGTCTTGGGTTACAATGTAAGGTGTAATCAAAAGTACATATTTCTACTACCATATATGTGAGCTGCTAAAATGAGAGAATCCTGATAACTCCCTCTGGGGAGGCAATCACCACTCTGAGGGGGCCAACTCTGCTAAGTCAAGTACTCCCCAGAATGATTCACAGATTCTCATTACCGCACTGTGGAATTCCCTGCCCTGGGGGATGTACCAAACAGTCCTGCCTGTAAAAAATTTGGGGCTTGGGACACCACAATAGCAGCACTTGATACCCAGAGGACTCTTGACAGCCACCACTGGATCTCCAGAGAAAGAGGAGACCTTTTCACAGGATCACTGCTTCAACAAGGCTGTATCCATCCTCCAATGGCATTGCAGCCACCATTTAGTTGGACTGCTACTCCCACCCTGACCAACAGGGTGTCAGGTCGTATTCTGACTTCCTCTGTTTAGGCCAGTGTTTCTGTACTATTGCCTTTATTGCAATTTTCCTATTAAATTGTAGCTCTGACCTGGAAGCTCTTGCAAAATATTCATCTGAAGCTAATTCCTCCTGCTGGTTTGCCTTCAAGCCCGTACACCCACCCGCCAAATCTATCAGTGTTGAGTGCAGACTTCCCTACAACAGGAAGTCTAATTGTCACCAATTTTAGTGTTCGTCACCAATGCTCCCAACCTAAAACAGCCTGTCGAAGTGCACAGCAAAATGCTGTTTACCAGTCTGATTCCCTTCAAGCAGCTCACAGACATTTTCTACATTTCTTCTTCTGCCAATGACCGACACAGTCTTCCTTCCAACAAACCCTAGCAATATAAAAAAACCCAAACAAACAAAAAGCCACAAACAAACAACCAAACAAACAGACAAGCAAACAAACAAAAGTTAAAGTCTGCATTGAGCCCTTCTCAGACAAATAAAACAAATTCATCTCCCCAAAAGCAGAAGAAATTACTGCCCATCTGTGGAAAAGCTGAAACAGGTACATCTCCTTTACACATTGTGAAAGGCCATATGATCATGGGATTGGTAAAAGAAAGCTACAGGCCCTCAGGAGCCTTTTGCTGGTGTTTTACTGGTCATATATCCAAGTCCAGGGCAAATGGACCATCTGTAACTCTGTGTCATTGCTCCAGAGAGAAACTGATTAAGAGGATCCCACCCATATGTTGGAGAAGTGAGAAGGATAATTTTTCAGGAGATAAGCAGATTCATGCATGCTGTAGCAGAAACAAGGGCATATTGCACTAACAGTTTTAGGACAAATAAAGCACCTTTGTGTTCACATAAAGCTCTGGTAGTCTCCTCATAAGACACTCATTGGTATTCCTGCCTCTGAGAATTTTAAGTAAGAAGTTCATCAGCTGTAACTTCTTTGACAAGGCAGTGAAGCATTGTATGTCAGCTGGAAGAAAGACAAGGAAGAACTGCATGGTCGTGTTCAGTGTCTCTGGTTAGAGAAAGCTGTCCCTGGAGGTCTGATGGAACCTTATCTGCACCACCTGCTTGTTCACAGGGTTTACTAATATCAATATCCCGAAGGTTCTTAACCATTTTTATCTAAGATAGCAGAATAAACATCCCATAGGCTGCAACGGCAAGAGGCTGAAGAAAGGGGGTCCCCTGCCTGCACCCCACCACCCCATTTCATTAACAATTAAAATTTGGAAAACAAAACCAAAAAAAAACCACACATCACCAGGTTTCATGCTTGAAGTCATATTTTTCCCCTTCAAAAGTTAATATAGGACAGAAAAAAAGGTTCAAAAGCCTTATTTTCAATGAAAAACAGAGTCTTTCAAAGGAAGGCTTGTCTTGATCTATAACTATAGCCAGCAACTTGCAACAGAAAGCAGAAGCGTGTGTCCTTGTGCAGTACTTCAAAAGTAACCCTGAGTGCACTTCTAAGAATCATACCATGGACATTTGATTCTGTGGAATGCATAATTGGCAGGTTTGTCAAAAAGCTGCTCATGTTCTTTCAGGATTCGCTGTCAGAGAATTCCTCAGTATGATCCTATTATAATATTTTCCTCCAGATTTTGCCTTTGTTTTTTATCTCAAACATCCCAAATATCAGAAATCTTTCAATTTATTTCATAAAAAGGCCCCCAAAAATCACACAAACATACTACATGTAGTGTGTTTTGACTGGTATTTTTATGTACTCATCTAGTCCAGCAACCAATTCTCATCAAGGCACAGATGTAGGAGATTCAAATTGAATTTTCGCTCTATAAATACAACATTCTATTCAAGAACAGATGAAGCTTTTTATTCTCTCTGTAATTCTTTCAGTTGTACTCTTAAGGGCCTAATTCACTTAGTTTCAGTAGTGAGTTCAGAAACTTAAGTTTCAAGACTAATCTTACTGAGATTCCCATCTGAATGAAGTTTAAGAAAAAAAAAAAAAGGATGTTTTAAATCTAGCCTTGCCTCATCATCCAGTATTCTAAAGATACTGACTTCGAAACTGAGAAAAGCATGGATGGACAATATGCTGGGAAAGCAGTGGTATCTTAATTAAAAACCAGCAGCAATATTTGAATAAAAAATACTTCAAGAACAGTGGTTTCTTGAAAGCTACTTTGTGCAGTTTCTCTTTCAAGAGTCAGTGACTGGAATGAGGAAGCAATTACAGTTCTATTCCCAATCATTGCAACAGCTTTCACCAAGAAGTTAATTAGATTTGTTGTTCTCTTGAGCAATCATAGAATTAAATTACACTTAAAAGGGCCTTAACCAGACCTTGTTTAGTGGCCCCAGAAAACACAGATTTATTTTAGAGTTCACAGGACACCAATCTTCACCCAACTCTTTCCATTTCTCTCTCTCCAGAGAGTACCACAGACTCTTGTCTTCATCTTTCTGGTACTTTTCAGTAGAATATATATATATATATATACATACACACACACACACACACACACACACTTATTTTATAAGGATTGTTACATCATCAGCTAAAATGAAAGAATGGTAGGACACCCCAGTGAATTACTTCTGTCCTTTTGGAAGCTTTCTGAGTGAGCTGCAGTAGTAATGGGATGGCTTATTTGGTACCATTACATTAATAATCCATGCAGAGTACTTACATGTGTTCATTAATTTTCCACCATCCTCGCTCACAGCCTTTAATATTCTTCTCACTAATGGTATAGTTATGGAATTTCAGAGCTATACCAAGGCTCTTCAATGGGGTCTGTTGTGAGCAAGAAAGATAGTGCAAGCAGTCTTCCTTTTCCTTTTGTGGGCATAGAACATAAAAGTGTATAAACGTATTTCAGGAATTACGGAGCTTGGCATTGCCACACCCTGGGAGCTGTGCTGGCTTCGCCAGTTCAACAGCCAGCACTTTACACTCTTGCCAGCTATTCAGTCCTGAGTCTAGGGTTGGCACAGGCCCACCACAGCTGCAGGCTTTCTCCCCCTCTAGCCAATAGTCTTCTCATCTTTAGAGAGCCACTGGCCATAGAAAGCAGCTTTTGTATCAAGATCAAAGCACTCAAATACATCCAAATGTACTTGTGTAAGGACACAAAGCCTCAGAGGATTTTTAGAGTTAAGATACTGCCTGGAATGCTTGTGTCACATTTATAATGCTAGGAGTTACTTCTACCACATTATTATAGTCTTCTGCTAGCACCTGCGCAGCCATGCATTCTTTCGTATTTTACAAAACATTTCTAAACTCAGCAAAATCACAAGTGTTCATACTTAATTGGAAATTCCTTTCATAAAAAGGAAGAGAGCCTTCTTTGCATGGCAAAGCAGTGTTCATTTAAAAACAAGGACTGATTCAGGGCAAAACTCCAGAAATGAAAATTTTTCTCCCGCTCTCTTATTGAAAATATAACTTGGGAAATGAGCAAATTTTCAATATTGCACGAAAATACAGCACTGAAAATGAAACTTGTTTGAGCAATAAACCTTTCTATCAGAAGTCCAGGGTGAACTGAAGACTGTAAATTTAGCCCCCCAAAAATCACCTCATCATTTTAGAAGAGGAAGAGGCTGTAAGCTAGCTGGACTTCATTTATATTGCTGTTATTCATTGTAGTCAGTTACTAGATTAACAAGGCATGAGTACCATAAGCAGAAAGATGGGTAAAAAGTGGATCTTATCATATCCATTGCTACATTCCATAGAGAGGAAAACACTAAAGAGCAAAGCCTAAGTTGGAGACTTTATTTCAGCAGCATTTATAAGGAAACACTCATGTCAGAGAAAATAGAAGTACTTTAAAACAACATCAATTTTCAGCAATTTACTTTCAGGAGAGTGCATTAAATGATGCAAGAAAAGGATACCAAATTAAACAAACACCACAGGATTGTGTTGATAGGACAGACCATTCTGAAGACAAATTAAATGTGATTTAAATGTGACAAATTAATATGAAAAGATACCAGAGAAGTGGCAGTAATAACCAGGTTAGGTTTTTTGTACATATTTTTTATTCAGTTTTCTGGGGGTGGGAAGAGAGGAGTTTAAAACAGTCAAGTTTTGCATTGCCTGCCATGAAGTTATTCTGCAGGCTTAATATCAAAACTCTTAACTCTTCACCTTTGTAATAGGACAGCTTAGGAACTATGTTCTCTTCCTTAAAAACAAGTGCACAGAAAGAGAAAAAGCTGATACAAAACACTTGAGCACAGCCAGCTATTCAGCAATACCATTTCTTCAAACTACTGCATCTGTGAGGATGCAGGTTACCGCCAATTCAATAACTTTTGCTTTACTTAAGCTCTATGTGCCCAAATCACACAGCAGTGCCTAAGAGAGAAAGAATAACGCTACCTGGAAGTTCCATGCACACAAGCATTTTGGAGGATAATAGCTTGGGTAATATGGACTTGTGATTCTCCCTTCATAGCCTGTTTCCTCTTTTGTCACTATTGTTCTCCCACACCCTAGGGAAAAAAATAAAAGGAGGCGAAATTGGGCAAACCTTGATATACCTTCAGTAAAGCTATTCAGTGGGCTAAAGCATCCAAATTTATCAGAAGTCTGTCACTGCAAAGATGGGCAGGTCAGGAATTATATTTAGCTGCATTCAAGTTGTAAAAAGAGACCCTTCCCAATAATGCACACAGAAGACAAAGGCTGTAAAGATCCAGGATAAGTGTTGGTCTCTGCAGGACCAGAAGAACACCCTGTAAAATCTACGTTATTTCACTGAAGACAGTTTTGCAAAAAAGAATACCAATATATCCACACTGCAGCACTACACAGGACCTCTAGTCTTAGAAAGCAGCCAGTTAGAAATGAAATGGACAACATACTCAACTAATCAGCCTCCTGGAAACCAAACTTTCTTGGATGACAGCTCAATGGATTTACAGAATTCATTAAAGACAAACTTGCACACGCAGAGAAACAAAGAAAACTTCGACTTGAACTTAAAGAAAACCAACAAACCGACCCACAGCCCATGCAGAATAGAACCTGAAGTTTATTATGAAGGATTCATCACATGTTTTTATGATGATATTTTAAGGCTTAATTACTGTCAACATTAAAAGTATGCAGCATCTTTTTGAGCAGCTTGAATTTCCTTGCACTGAGTTGTGTGAGATTTTTCTTGGGTCACTAGCATGATATTCCTTGTACTATTTGTGATTATGATCTCAGCATTTCTTAAAGATTAAAGCAATAAAGACATGAGCTTGATGCACAAACGTTACAGACTCTTTTGTGTTCCTGAGGAGGCAGGGACTAATAGCACATTCAGACAAAGCAACTGAAGTTTTGTTTTCTGAAAGCAGTTTTTAGTGCAATCATCCTTCCGCTTTTAACATGATCCCCGAGTCCCAAGGCAGAAGGGCGACCACTGCTACACCTGAAATAACAGCCCCATCTACTGGCACACTGCAGTCCTCGCCAACTGAATTCAGGGCTGCTTACAGCCTCTTATGTTCATACTTCACAACCAGTCTGATCGGATTACATTACTCAATAGCAGTAATACAGAGAAGGTGAAGGGGAGACAGGCACTTGTAAAAAGGAGAAACTCAGATACAGGAATAATTTTTCCATAGTCAGAAACATGACAGACACTTCAGAAGAAGAAACAATATAATAAACACACTTCCAAACACAGAACAAACTTACTTTCTTGTGTAATGACCTCAAAATAGCCATGGAATTCCTTTTGCTCCTTTACTTGTGCTGCCTTAAATATTACCAGCATGAGATTATTTGTGGACACAAGTGACACCAATGAATCAGCTGGTTCACAGGCTCTGAAGGGAAAGAAAGAAGAACAAATACATAATTAACACATTATTCTCACTCTACATAAATTTTCCACTGGTTCAGATCTTACCTCCTTCAAAGTCCAGTCAAATCTCCATGCTCTTGAACAAAAATATACCTGTTACAAGGGCAATTTAAAACTCAATACTGAAAATTCTTCTTACAAAAATGAAGGAAATTGCATGAAAATTAATATGGAATATTTCACTCTATGAGATGATGACTTCCAGCCTTCACTCCCAGTAAAAATGAATGAAGGAAAAATTAACAAAAAGCTTGAAGAAAAATCTTATTTTATTAGACCAACAGTTTTATCTTCGTATTGGGGAGTAGGAAAGACAAGAAAGTTATTCTTCAAGTCAGAAATTAAGAACCTAAGCAAATCAAGTAGTCTCATTTAAAAAAAAAAATTACTTTCCATATGCATTACTTAGCAGACATCTTCAGTCCTCTACAGATACTAACATGTAAGTGAGCACCATCCAAGTCAATTGGAGATACAGATTAGTATAGGACAGCTCTCAAAAAGGACTGAAAAGTCAATGCTCTGGTTGTGAGGCTTATCCACAGACTGAAATGCCAGAGAACAGGTTTCAGAGGTGAAAATGCTGAGCATTTGTCTACTTCATGGAGATGGTGTTGTTTCCTTTTGACTTGCAGAGTCCTATGGAATTAATTATCAGGGATTTTAAAGAAAAAGTTCCTAAACAAACATAATGGATCATTAAAGAAAGAGAAGACCAAGAAAAAAGTGGTAGTTCACATCCCTCAACCCATCACAGCTTCAAGTCAAGATTTTCATAACCCTCTAAACAAATAGAGCAGATAAAAAAAGCATTGAACTAGTGAGTGCCAGTTACGGAAAATCACAAGACTTAGTTTCAGAACTTCAGTGTTTATCTGAAAAGCACTAATCTTAATACAGAATAGCTTACTTAAGGGAGGAAATGTTGACATTCTCTTTCAGTCAGCATCTGTTTCCTGATAAGAAACAGAAACTTTTGCCCAGTAGTGCGCAAATTTTTCATAGTTCTGTAGCTAGGTGAAGATGCACTCCAGTTAAAAAAAAAAAAGAGAAAAAACTGAAGAAAATTTCCCCTTTTATTAGCAAGATAACTTATCCAAGAAATTTTAATTTGTCAGGTGTTATGTGAGTAATACAAGAAGATCAGAACAATTTTAACAAAACCAAACTAACCAAAACATGAAGATGATAGGTCTTCAGAAAAAACCCCAAAAGTTGTCAATTAATTCTTAATAGAAATTTATACTCACCGGTAGAGTACCTTATCTTTGATTGGCATCAGAGAATCATAAATGGTGAGTGAGTCAGTGATGCAGTTATCTGCTTCAATCTGAAGGGATACTATGGAAAGACGGACAAGGTGGCCCACAGAGGCAATAAGCTTAAAATAGCAGATTGTTCCCTCTGAGGTAGCTTGGGTATCCAGAGGAAAGTGCTCATGTAGTTGGTCAGCATAGAGATCATACATGCAATTTGTTCCTGTGAAAATGTCACATTTTCAACACTGGACACAATCACTCCAAAACTACTAAATCCACATGGCATTAAAACAAAAAACCATAAAACTTGTGTGTTAAACCAAAGAAAATTATGTAGGCATATCTAACTTGGAAAGCAAAGTAATAATAGAATTATAGAGTGGTTTGGGTTGTAAGAGATCATCTAGTTCCAAACTCTCTGCCATGACAGGGGTACCTTCCACTCCACCAGGTTGTCCAGACCCCCAGCCAGCCTAGCCTCAGACACGTCCAAAGGGCATCTACAGCTTTTCTGGGCAGCCACCCTTACAGTAAAGAATTTTTTCTTACCCTAAACCCAAACTTATCCTTTTTCAGGTTAAAACCATTCCCCTTTCACCTTGTGAAGCCTCCCTTTCTGGCTGTTTGTGTCATTCACTGCTTTCATCTTAGATAAAACTCTGTGGTTCAAGAACAGTCTATTTATAACAAGTACAGAGAATGGCCAACAGTGCTGTTGCCAGGGTATTTTCTTGCAGGGTATTTGCACTAAAGCAGTGCCATTTTGTACAATTTGCAGTTAAAGTTCTGCAGAGTCTCTAGAGGATAAATTACTTAATTCTTCACTGGGACATACTCATCTACTTTCAAAGCATAAATGTACTGCTTGCCCCTACGGACATTAGGATATTTAAAATACATAAAACAAAATCAAAGGTAAATACAGTTGCATGTCTGTATGCCCCCAGCTTTTTTATTGATCAAATGTCAAGGTTCTCAATGTTTTATCATGACATGAACTTGAAGTGCTAGCAACAAATTCAGATTCACCAAGTCCTTTAGTTTGGAAAGGATGCTCAGAGTTTTCTTGCTCAACATTCTGCTCAAAGCAGAATCAAAATGAATTCAGACCAGGATTTTGTTTTGCCCAGTCCTGAAAATTTCTGCAGTGCTAGAAATCACCATTAGAAATGGAAACACTGGAAACAAATGGAAACAATGGAAATAAAAATTATGCAACTTCCCCTACACAACATTCATTTTAAGAAGGGTAAAAATTTGTGTCATAATTTAGACAAGGATAAGAAAAATATTAACCTATTTGCATCCAATTTTCCAATTAAGCTGGAACAACTGCAATTCCAAATAAAACATATTGAGGTCTTTATTTTAATTCAATATTGCAGTTAGCAGTCAGCAAAAAGCTTAGGGAATTTTTGTTTGGTCATGTCTAAAACTCTTAACATAGCTCTTTAAAAGGTGAGAAGGAATAAAAATGCAAATTAGGGAGAATAAGATCAAAAGTGAGTATTTGCCCTAATTTCTGCCTATTACAAACATAAGTCGCTCAAATAGTTACCATCATGGAACACCAATTAAGAGCACTGAGAAATTTTACTACCAATTGTTGACTCAAATTAAATGTTGACCTTTTAACCAGTAGCTAATCAAGACAGGAAGTGGCAGGCTTTGTCCAACTTCCACTTCTAAATTACAATCTTGAAACTACGATTGAATGTAACATGAAACTAATGCTATGAATGCTTATGAACAATCTGTAAGGGTCACATTCCATTTAAATGAATTGCAGTTAAAAGCTTTGTTTAAGTAATTGTTCTTCCTTGTTCTTATCTCTTCACAACAACATTATTTTTATAATCGTTATTTGTGCTTATCTAGTCACCCTTAGCAGAGCCAACCTTGATCATAATCTCTAAAATTATATGTAACTACCATTATTTCTACTAAGTAATTAACAATGGGATGAGGTCGCTGCTGCTATGGGGCACAGTCAAATTCAGACCTGACTCTAGAACTACAAGCAGTTGAAGCATGCTGGTTTGAAACCAAAGCTGGATAAAGTCTTTCACCAAGGAAACCCAGCATAATCAGATATTATGGCAATGCAAGAACCTCACATCAGCTGGATGTCCACAAGTCCCTTCTCCAGCACCACTCTTCAATAAATCTGCACTCCATTCTGTGCCTGAACCAAACACTGGGTTCATCTCCATACTCAAAGTTAACTCCATTGCTCTCAAAATACAGCCTGCCAATGCTCATTCATTTTGTGCTGCTGCATGTTCACTTTTACCTCTGCATCATTTCCATAGTCCTAAACAGACACAGTCAAAGAACCCCAGCAAATAAAATTGTACCAGCATAAGATTCTCATGTACTGTGGCCATCCATGCTCTTTGTCCCCAGGAACTTCATTATATACCCACTCCACACTTCCCACAGATACCATCTGAAACCTGTGGGAACCTATACAAAGTCTCTGAAAGATGTCTAGAATATGGCAGGTCATCCTTCTCCCTTTGTGTAAAAGACACCATGTAAATCCTACAAAGCCTTAGCAACAATATTTGTGTTGTATTCTTAATTTCTTCTGTTTTAGGGGCTGCATTCTGGAATAAATTGGAACCACGTTCCAAGTAGGCTAACTTCTCCACCCTGGAACATGGAAGTAGGAAATGAAATTGCTAAGCAAGTAAACACCAATACGTAAAACTCTTGATAGAAATAAAATGCACATTAATGAGATGTGATAGAAGCCAATATTGTTTTGCTTTGCAGTTTAAATTGGGAGGCTTATACAAATGAATGCTATAGCAAAGTTGACTTCAGTTTTGAGAAATTATGGGCTGTTAGCCATATAAACATTGGACCATGCTCTGTGACCTGAAGTCTGCCTGTGGACCTCAGAACTAGCAGAGCTTGACTTGGCTGCATGGCAAAAGTAGTTGGATTTCAAAAAAAATATGCAAACTAAAACCTTTACAAGGTAACATAAGTGAAAAATCACAGGTAGAAGTGCAACCAAATGTTTCAGGAAAGAAAAACATGAACATGGAAAGCTATAAAGCCCTTGAAAAACCAAAAAGTTGAGATTTCTCAAGATGAAGAGTCAGTCTGTGTCAAGTAGCAAGGGAGGCCAACACATCCCAAGCTGATTGGTAACAGTTGGCCCAACAGAGTCTTAGCAGGTGTCCCCATCAGAGGTGCGGTACTATTGCTCAGCCTAGTAGCACCTTTTTTCTAGATACCTACTCCATGTACTATTGAAGGTAGATGTACTGTACTTTTGACCTGCTTATTCAGTGCTCTGCACACTGAAAAAGAACTCTTCTGGGAGGTTTACAAAATGAAACCAAGCAGGTGTACAATCAGTGTCTCCCACAACCCTGGCAAAACTCAACTGCCTAAAGTAATTACTGTTAGGGAATTCATTCAAAAGAATAACTCACCATTAACCTTGGAGAAAAGGGAGTTAAGGTGGATAAAGAATGGACAAAAGCATGGACAACACATGCTCTTTTTCAGCATATTAAATTCATTACTGTCCAGTTAAGAAAAGGTTAATCTGCTGGTCAACACAATGAATAGCAAACACCTGATTTATGTGTTTACTGGTGATATTTACTATGTCACCAGGTACATCTAAAAATTTACCAGGCAGATTAAAGGTAGAGAGTTCCTGTGTTTGTAACATGCAAGACTCTTGGTCATCCTTTTAGTAAGTCAGGACTTAAATGCCAAGGCTGAATTTAGCCCTCTTAAATTAACACTGAACAGTATCTAAACTAAAAGCTTTGTTCTCCACCTCTCCTCTACAGGAAGCTGCCAAAAGGGCGAATTACCTACCTGTTCCTGTTGTTGACCAATAATCTGACCGAAGACCTGCTGCATAGAAAAAGAGTTGTGTGAGTCCTCTTGTTTGCCTGAAATCCAGAATTCAGGGTTTAATTCAATCACACCTCAGTCCTATCACTGAACACATAGGACAAAACACTTTTCTCAGTGAGAGGGTTTGCCATAGCCCCCTTTATTTCTGAAAATTCTGCAAGCAGCTTTGGAGGTGAGGCAAGAAGATACTGCATGGCAATTAAGCAATCAAAGTCAGTTGAAGGACTGAGATAGAGGTACCCTGAACGTCATTTTCTGGCTGATGCCCTTAGAATGGAAAGTCATTAAACATTTTGTAGCTTAATACATTAAATATGCTTGAATCACAGGTTGTAAGTTTGTTCCCCAGACAGGAACGGCACAAAAGTTATTTAGCAAATGGGCACCTTTTGTAATCTCTTCTTGAATCTTTAATAAAGGAGTGATCTGTCTCATTTTCAATGAAGTGATCCACCTTAACCCTTCATGTTTTTATGCTTTTAAAATCACAGACAAACCCAAATCTGCCTACAAAGGACTCCATTTTACCTTCTGACTATGAACATAACCACTCCCAATACAGGAAGTTTTGCAATCACTGCTTACAAGGACAATTTGCACCTTGATTTGACCTCAAATCTCATTTTTATTTTTCTTCACAGATTTTTTCCTCTATTACAATTTTAGTAATAGAAGCTAGAGATGTAGGATCAAGATTTTAGTTTATAGAATTTTCTACTCCAAAATAAAAATATTTGCTTAATGAAGTATTTCGTCAAGGATATGGATGTGTTCTACTACTAACCACTTAGGACAATGGAATCCATGTCGACTGCAAGGCCCTGAAGACTTCCCACCGAAGTCCGGTTGATGATACTTGTCTGAATGGAATCCTTTAAAATGGCAGCCACACAATCCTCACACAGCACTTGCCCCTTCGCCTGTGGTACCACAAATACGATCCAGAAATGAATAAGAAGGCCTCCATTGTTGTTGTTACTGAAATAAAGAGCTCAGGTTATCACCCTGTTGGAAGTCCTCTGAAGACTAGACTCTTAGCCCAAGCTTCTGAAGCATAAATTCAGAAGTGCGTGGCTCATTTCCATATTTTATAATTACTTTAACCCAGTGAATGTATATTTTACCCTAAAGAAACAAATAAACAAACACAACAAATCTCAAAACACCAAAACACGCTCTTCACATCCAGTTGGCAATATTCAGTAGGCTGATTTCCTGAGGGTCCCTAACTATGGAGATTCTATGGAAATCACATTGTCTCCACATGAATTAGAGCTAGACTATTTCCTAAAGATCAAAACATAAATAGTAGAACACAAACAATAGAATTATCATCTCCAGAAATGCAGAGCTCTGCAGTGGTATGTATTTCACCCTGCACAGTGTGTTGCAGTATGTAGGAAATGATTCCTATTTAGGTAACGCATTAGAGGCCATGTATGATCACACTAATCTCTACCTCCTTGGTGGGGAGAAAGACCTTTAAATCAAACACAGCCCAAAAACCACCAGTTTCTGAAGCAAAAATGTATTTGGTTCTGGATGATTGAAACTAACTAAACTTCTAACATTTGCTGCAAACATGAATATTAGAATAAGAATACTTTAGTGCATAGATTTCCTTCATCTTAAGTAGAAAATGCTTTTATTCCAGTAACATTACTCACAAAATATGTGCGATTTAATCAATAACACAGAGTCGTGCTCCATCAGTATGTTTAAGTGGTTAAACTTCTACATGAGCCAAAGGATTACCAAACCTCTTAATTGACATTGTTTCTGTTCATCTTGCATTGTATTTTTTTCAGACAAGGAACTGTTTGTATGACTTTAGTTTGACCTTACTTTTGTTAAGTGAATTGGTATAGGTTATAAACCTATTTTGCTATCAGTTCAAGTACATAGAAAAGACATTGAATTATAACTATTAAAAATAAGCTTGTTTTGTGGGCTTATTACATTATCTACTGCCCAGCAGAAATGCAATTACTTTAACCACAGTTTTACCTGACTTCTGAGACAGTGGACTGTTTGTAAAATTTGGAGAAAGAAGAAGTTGTGTAAACCAAGTTCATCTGAAAGACAAAGTATAAAGATTTAGCATTCTGAAAACCAGTTACCCCTAGAGATGCTATATACCTAGGCTTTTCTAGGAGCAACCTATTTTCCACCAAGATTATGCAACATGCACACACTTCCAGACATATATCAGCCAAGCTAGGCAGAGGAGAAGATGAACAGACCATCTCTTCTATGCATCTGTAATAAATCCAGTATTCCTAGGAAACATCAAATCTTCTGCCTATGGCCAGTTGGTATATACAATAATGCTCTTTCCATATAAATGAATTTTGACAACAATGCATATCCTTCACCCAGAAAATCCCAAACACAGAGAGCATCCCTATCCTGATGCTAAAACTTAAGGCCGAACTTCAAAAAATGTGCACACACTCACAACACTTTTTTTGGCGTTGTTACTAAGGTGCAGTGAACAGCACATACCAGAGCTTTTCCCACAGAATCATAGAAAGACTGAGATAGGAAAAGGCCCCTGGAGAGCATCTAGTACAATCCCACTGCTCAAAGTAGGGTTGACTATACCACATTGCTCAGGGCCATTTCCAGTTTTACCCTTAAGAATGGAGACTCCACACCTTCCCTGGATGAGAACCCCAGTGCTTGATTCCACTCACAGCTAAGGAATTATTCTTTTTTTAATGTGCCCATGGAATTTTTTGCACTTTGATTCCTTTGTGTCTATTTTCTTCATCAACAGCTTAGTATTAATATATTTCTTTCCAATAACACAGTGTAAAACGTGGAGAAGCAAAATCTCTCCCTGTTCCCTGCCAAAGGACTGTCTTTGGGCAAAGCAAGCTCCTGATTCTCCCTGTTGCTGGGCTGTGATAATACTGGTGTGACAACTTTCCTCTCCCCATCCTGTTCAAAGCCACAAGGTGGCATGTATCTCAAGCTGTTCGGACCTCACTCTGCTGCTTTATGATTAAAACTAATGTGCAAAGGACTATGACACAGAATATTGCAAACACTGTAAAAATCACATCCATATTAACCCCTAACCTTCATCATTTGAAACAGGAAGTTTAAACAATAATTTTAAGGGCCTAAAAAAGGTGGGTAGAGCTCAATTTTGCTCTAGATTAAGGTACAAGAGATTTTATGTATTACTGCTACTATCAAATGGAAAGAATCTATCTTGAGAGGTTTTTTACCACCACTTGGGGTCTCTGGGTCAGAAGCCAGTAACAAAAGGGTTTTGAGGACAACAAACAAAATCCCAAATCCCCCACTTCCCTGCTAACAATTTTAGTCAACACTTAAGTTTGCCAGTTTCAGCAATGCAAAATCCATTGATAAGTTCAGGCAAAGCTCACAGATAAAAAATAAATTCCGAGTAATGTTAAAATAGGAGGTGGGAACACTGGCAGCTCAACACCTTCTCTCTGGTGTCTCTCTCCACTATGTATGATATGGGCAGGACAAGAGCAAGACACAAGAAATACAGGACATTCGAGCTGCTCCATGGATAGCAGGGAAAGGTGATGCCCTGCACTGGTTATCTGAAAGATCTTCAACGATTAATATGCAGGACTTGGAAAGAGCGGGAAAACAGGAACATTAGTTCACATTATAAGGTGACAAAAACTTAGTAATTATTGAAAAATTTCTTGGTTTCATCTAACATTTTTGTTGTTGTTGGTTTTGTTTAGTAGTTTTCATACTGTCGCTTGAATCCTTATGTGGATAGCATTTCTGGCAAAAATGTATTTTTTCTGCCTACACCAAATGTATTTAAAGTCAAATTCCCTTTTAACCAAGATTCCCCCTCACCCCTTTCTTCCCACTGTAGAGCAGCTATTGATCCAGAGTTCTATTTTTGCTTTGACTGACACAAGGTATTTGGGAAGTATAATGGTCTTTAGAATACCTAGTATTAGAAGGAAATGTAAATTTCTGTCTGAAATATGTTTGTGATCCCTAGGGTAAATATGGATGTTTTAAGGCAGAAGATACCAGTGTAAATGCAAAAAATTTTAAAATTTTTTCTGTTTGATGTTTCAAAGGTGGCCACTGAGTTTAAGGACTTTTGTAGAATTTTAGTCCCAGGTCATAATTTATGGGTGAAAGTATGGAAAATTTTAAGTCAAATGTAAAAACCAGATCCATTCAGAACTGTTTGTGATTAACAAGCTGAAAGCAGTTAGTTCCTTCATACCTCCAGACAGTCACCGCTTGCACATAATCCTCCAAGAGGGAAGGGGTAGAAGAACACCACAGCAGCCTCAATGGTATCTAAACATCCCTTGTCCACAGCTCTGATCTTTTTCTGCTAACCAAGCAGCCCACCCATCTTACCACATGCTGTACAGTCTGTGCCATAGAGAGGAATTCCTTGGATTCTTTCTGCCTATATTCTGGACGAAACTCTATATTGGCAACACGAAACAGTCCAACAAAATACAATGCATCTTTGTTTTCTGCCTGAACTGCAAGAAACAAAGAAGACAGCCTTTTTTAAATAACAATGAAGGTTTTTTATTAAATTCTAAACCAAATTAATCAGTTTGGCCTAATCAACTTTGTAGTTTGAAACAACTACCCAAAGAACGCTACACTTTTATAGCCAAACGGTTCTAGATGTGTACCAAATTATGGTTAATGAGCTCCTGTTATCTACACAAAAGATAAGACACCACCATACAAACAAGCCAGCACAACTGAAGGCAGTATCAACATCCAGGTTCTGGGGCATCTCTAAGGTATCTTAGGCAGTATTAGTATCAGAGGCCTAAAGAGGAAAGCATAGCTTTTAATGCTTAATTACACACAAATTTAATTTACTCCCCTTTTACTTTCTTAAATCCATTCTGAAAAAGAATGTACTTATCTGAACTTCAGAAGGCCAATGGAAGGCAAAATTTCTGAGGAATCAAGCTCATAAAAACCTGTCATGTCTGTGCAAATCAGCTTGCACATTAAAATGTTTTTCATACCCCTGAAATAAAATCACGCTCCCTAAAGCCAGTTTTTCTTATTACTTGTTAAGTCTTAGCAAAGACAAAAGTTTTTCAGACCCCATTTTAAAATTTCCATGTTTACTTTAGAAACAGCCCTCAGGACAACTGAGATCCTAAAGTCATCTGAAAGTACTATTGGCAATAATGATATATGGAGTTGCATGAACTTTCAGCAACTCACCAATAAACAGCCACAGTAATGTCCATGTTACAACTCCTAAAATGAATAGAATGAGAGTAAAGAGAATTATTTTGTTTTGAAAATTCCATAGCAACTTATCTTTTTTCTTCAATTTGTCATGCTTTTTCCTTGCCAGAATCCTCTTTGCCAACTTGTCTTCTGCAGATACCATTTGGACTGAAATGTTGGCTGCCTAAAATAAGGTGAAAGACAACAGAAATCGTGGAATGTTTCTAGCAGGAATTTACTGATCAACAAATCTCAACCAATTTGTTCCTCAGAGAAAAGTCTCTACTTCCTTCAGGCTGTGGAGCAGTGGCTACGGACAGGCTCTTTCTGCATATCTGGCTCCCTCTGACAAGTTAACTCCAGTGAACATGAGAGCACAGCACAGTCTTGCTGAGATGGGACCTGCACAAAATCATCACCTGGATATCCAAATGCTTGACAGTTTATTTTGAACTACAGTCTCAAATTTTCTAAGCTGGATCCAAAATATGTCCTGATCATCTCATCTAGGTACAAAAGAATACATGACCATTTCTATATTTGCAGGAGTAGTTTCCACTTCCTATAAGGTATCTACATCTTGTCTGTTCTGGAAAGCCCATTTGTATCAGACACCACCACCATGCCTCAGGCATTTTCCTCTTCAAATCAACACATTTAAGCAGATAAAAAATGTTTCTCAGTTGCTGTAGGCACAGCAAGAGCTGCCTGAAAAGTCTCTTGCACTTCATAGAAGTCTATCTTTAAGGTATCTCCTGTCACAGTCAAATTGTTTGTTGTGAGATCAGCTAGAGGTTCAATCACATTTCTCAAGTCAATTCATTGTCTCATCTCTTCAGAGTTTAGCTGGCAAATTCCTGGACCACTCAGAACATTACTGACCATGTGTACTAGATATGAATACTGTTTTAGCTGTTACACCCAGCTGCACCAGAATAAAATTACAAGAAAAACAAAAACCAAAACTCCCACAACAAAACTCCAACAAACCAAAACCCACCACGCATTTCCTCCTTACATAAAAATTATAGCATAAGTTAGATAATATTGCTACATAAACAAGGAGCATTCACAAAAAATACTCTAAAAACATGTTGATGCCAGTGAGAAAGAGGCTCTGAAGGAGTGGCTTTAGGTAGCTGTGGCTTGTCCATGACTGGAGGTGTTGACAAATACCAGTCAGCAATCAGGAGCAAGGGTTTCAGTGCACAGTCTTTTATAAAGCACAAAACAGTCTTAGACAAAATGACGTGGCTCAGGAGCTCATATGAAGATAATCTTCATATTTAATATGAAGATTAAACTGAACTTCATCAAGATGAAGACCAAAACAAATAGGTTTTTTCTCTTGGTTTTGGAACAGCAAGATTCATTTAAATGGCATCTTCAAAGCCTGTCTCCCTCATCTCACAGCTGATTTATGCCACTCAGAGGCCTCTCTAAGTGGTACATCATTTTTAAGCAGTGCAAATCAAAAAGCTCTGACAATGTCCTAGTCTGTGACCATAACTGGTCTATGATTTGCTCAAGATGCTGACAGCCTCACTCTGAGGGACAAACTGCTGTCCAATCACCTATCTCCTTCTGTGCTCACACAAAAACACACCAAGGAATTCACACTCACTCTAGAAGATACACACTGCCCCTGTCTTCGGGAGGTCTACCTGTTCCCTGTGCTCAGTAGGCCTCTGCAGAGCTACAGCAGGTAGATGATGAGGAGAAAGTGTGCAACAAGGTGCTTACCTATTTACCAGCATTGCATTGTTTGAAGCCTCTCAGAAAGTACCCTGGCAAAGAGTGAGTGATCTGTTGTTGACTAAAATGTGTGGACACAACTGTAATTTTTCATCCATACAAATTATATTACACTTGATGAGAAAGAAGAACATGAAAGTCAGGAAACAACCAGCTGAGAATTTCACTCTTCAGTTTTCAGTGTGGGATGCCAAATTTAATACAGTGGCTACAAAAACGCTGTGCTGATGCAGCTTGACACACAGGAAATGACAAGCACAACTGCCAGCAATTTGCAAAAGGGGTTGTGAAATAACCTACAATAAATGCTTCTTTCCTTTTGTTCAACAGTAGAAGATGCCCATCTGTGTTTTGGGCCAATCAGGATATGGGAGATGTTGATTATCCAGAGTGATTCCAGGGGAAGATCACAGAGGTAGGGAGCTGGAGGATATGATATACAGCAAAAAGCTGAGAGCCTTAGGGTTGCTTATCGGGAGACAAAACGGCAAATACAGAGTGAGTAAATCTAATTCTAGATATCCATTTCTGAAGTGGGCTATGGAGAAGGCAGAGCCCCACTTTCCTCACAGGTGCATAATGAAGAGAGAACCACAACAGCCACACACAGCAGCAGGGGACATTCTAGCTGCACTGTGGGAGAGGGAAGAATGTCTTCCACCACAAAGGCCATGCACCTGGGCCATGCCCAGAGAGGTCAGGGAACCCCCACGCCTGGAGTTATTCAAACCTCAGAGGATCAATGTTCCAAGAAATCTGTCTTTGTTTTGAAGTTATCCCTGTTCTTAAAAAACATTAAAAACATGTAGAAGTCTTCACCAACGTATTTTTGACACGTTTCTCTGATATTATGCACTAGTAATACTATCAACAAGAGACCTCTGTATATCCTCAGAGGAAGCCTAAGAAATATCCCCACAACTATCCTGCTGGCCCCATAGTCAAATGCAACAGATAGCAATCTTTGATCTCAGAGTGGAGGATGTTCTAAAAGGAGAAGAAAACATGGCAATAATTAATAACAAGTAGAAGTAAAAGACTAAGTATGACCCTCTACAGTTTCCTCAAACAAAATCTTTAAACACAGTATGGGAACATTTCAGATTCATGTCTTCTATCTAGGTAATTAACTGCTCTTGTTTTGTGTGCTCTCCACTTGATGTACCCATCTTCTTTATTTTTTACAAACTTTATTGAGTCTGTTTAAGGATGAAAATGAATATTTGTTTAAAGCTCTGGATTGTCACAAAGTTCCTTTATACTCTTAGGTGTTCAGTAGGCCAGCTGGAGGCAGTTCAAGGAATGCTGAGTTCTGACATCTGAAATTTCATCAAGAAATGAAATTTCGTTTCTTTCATTTTCATCAAGATTCTCACAATAATATTTTATATTAATGTTTTCCCATGTAACTCCTTTTTGTGGCTTTAGACCTAAACAGACAGATTTATTATTAAAAATTAAATCTTGTCAAGTATTGTTAAAAATTACTCAAAACTGACATCACTGGATATATAAGTGGGCACTTGAAACAACTGATATCTTCATTTCATCTACTCTAATCCTCATCTTATGTTTTTTTAAAAAAGCAATTCATGTATCAAGCTTTCCATGACAAAATTCTCTGTTTCATGGGATTCATAGGAATATTGAAAGCTGTGTGCTACATTATCAATATTTTCATAGTTTTTATTAATTTACCATAAACCTTTTGCAGTAAGGAAAGCAACAGCAAAGTTAAGCTGCTCCCTTCCCTCAGTAAGGACCCTAATTCTCAATCCAGTTTTCCTCTACTGCAACTTAGTTCTTGTATTCTAGAACTGCTTTCCAGCTAACATTGCAATTTGACCATCACCATACACCAAATTATATAATTACATCCTTTTCATGAGTTAGCACTCATACAACAATCCCCTTCTCTATCTTCTCTGGGAAAAGCAAAACACTTTGCCTCCTTTAATGTTGCCTTTCTTGCCTAGAAGTTAACTTTTCTTGAAAAAAAATGCTGCATGACACCAATATAAGCTTTTATGTTGTCACACTGTCATGTACATTATTTCATGTGTCTGAAAATATATAATATTAGCAATCCAGGGATAAACACATCTTAACATTTTCAGACTGAGCTATAAACCAGAAAATTATACCAAATCTAACCATCATATTAAATTTAATACTTGACAATTATATCACAAGACATCTAATAATGTCAAAAAGCATAGAAAATCAAGAATGTTTAAGTCACCTACTTCATTTACTTCATCTTCAGGTTTAGTTGTTTGGGGATCATTTTTTTCATCCATTTCAGCAGAATTAATTTTATGACTTGTCCAAGCTGAGAAAGAGCCTTACACCTTTCCTCAGGCACCCTTTCTGCTTGTGAAGCTGAAGACAGCTAATTGCAAGGTCCAGGACCAAAAGAGGCATCAATTTACTTCAATGAGTATCCAATTGTAATCTCATCTGCCCTACTGCACCTTTGCAAATGTTAGAAGACTGCTATCATGTAACTTCAGGCTTTTCATGGTCTTTATAAAGCTGAAATAATAAAATACAAAACTGCAGTGCTAAAATCTATACATTACTGATCCTCATGGGTCCTTCCCAATTCAACCTCTTCTATGATTCTGTGAAAACGTCAAAATATTACTTACATGAATGAGAAAAGCAGCACGCAAAATGTAAAAGTGAGAGCAAAAACATGCTAAAATAAGGAAAATAAAGGTAAGCACCCTAAGTAATAGTGTTGAAAATTGCAGATAACAGCAGCAAATCAAGTTGAGCATTTGGACTATCTTCTAAAATTTTGTAATGTACACTGTTAAACACTCAAATTTGCGTCTTTTATTGTAACTGAAAAATAAACTGCTCCAGGCAACTTACTTCATAGTATTAAAATAGATCAGGCTTCAAACTGAGAATACTTTTTGTAATCAGATGCAGGAAGTCACTTGTATTATAACAGTTTCATCCTATTGTCTTTGTTAATTAAATATTTATAGAGGATGTAACCCAGTACTTTTCTCAGTGGATACTAAGTATAGAGCTGTCTTTCCTTTTAAGTGATTAACAATCTCAATGTCTTCCTTAAGTCAACTGCAGAAATTGTACAGGGGATATACAATTATTATTTTTAAAATAACCCTTCTTTTAATTTATCTTTGAAGATATATTTTTAAAAAAGCACTACAATAGAAAAGATGTACTTATTAAGCTCTGGGCTGTATTAAAGCTTAGCAGCATAGGAAAGTGTATCCATGTATTCCATATTACTATGTTTAATTGCTTCAAAGTTCCTTTTTTTACTTTTTTGTTTGTTTGCTTTTGTTTTTATTTGGTTATGCTTAACTTTTAGGGGCTACTCTGGTCTCAAGGTGTTCATGTAACTCCCCAAAGTCTCCCACTCCCCCATGCACAGGGAGTTACTATGCTGTAAGTGCTATTTCAGAAGCTAGTCCATGGATTGAAACAGCATTGACAAGTAAGTCCCCATCCCCCTGCACTACTTGTGGTTTGGGAGATGAAAGGGTGTGGGTAAGCTTCTGCTTAGTGTACCTGGGAAAGCAGGGAGGCACAATGTTGTTTTAATGTTTGCCTTGTAGATTCTCACTATCCACATTAATACTTCAATTTCTGTTTGAATATACAATAAATTAAGTAAATTTTCCCCAAACTGAGTTTATTTTGCCTGTGACAATATTTGGCAAAAAATCTCCCTGTCTTCATCAGAAAACATTATCCCTCCTTCCTGTTCCTCCCATTTTCTCCCCTGATCCTGCTGAGGAAAGGAGGTAGGGGCTGAGCAGCTGGATGGGAGTTTGGCTGACAGCCATGGCTAAATCATGACATTGTTGCATTACCTAGTACATACTTTCACCTCCTCTCCTTTTAAAAAGCACGGGTTTGAGTTTTGTTCATGATATCTTTACTTTGAAACAGAATGCACTCAATATAAAGAGAATGACAAACTGAAATGAAACATGAGACACATTAGAAATAAAACCATCTTACAAAAGGGAGCACTGTTGTTTGCTTCTGTTTAATTAATTGCATATTCCCTGTATAAAAAAAGAAGTATGAAGATTAAAAAAAATTAAACTTCAATAGACTTCTCAGATCATTCACACACTGACCAAAACACTTGTTTTCACTCACATCATTTGCACTTAGGGGAGTAACTTCCTCATGCACATCTGTTTGGCAGCCTTTCTTTTTCCCGTCTCATCAAGACCCTCTCACAACCAGGGCAGTTTGACATTCTAATTTGTGACCTCCCATGATGGGGAAAAAAAAAAAAAGATAGTGAAGAAAAGATAATTGGATCTTTGATGCATTCTCCCCTACACACGCAGACACCTCTCTCCCTTTCCACTCTGATGGGCAATGTGGTTTGTGCTAAGATGACAACACCAGATGGTTTTGAAGGAGGAACAGTCTGGATGTTCATGTAATGAATGCATTCCAGAGTTGGGGAAGCTGTGATGTTTGGATTGACATTGGTGCACGCTGGCTTGCAAAAGGGTACGTAAAATACCACTGGAGACCAGGCGATCTGGGCAAACTGATGTCACACACAGATACAGAATCACTAGATTGGAGGAGACCTTCAAGACCATTGAGTCCATCCCATGCCCCAACACCTCAACTAAACCATGGCACTGAGTGCTGCATCCACTCTTTTTTTAAACACATCCAGGGATGGTGACTCCACTACCTCCCTGAGCAGACCATTGCAGTACTTTCACTCTTTCTGTAAAAAGCTTTTTCCTGATATCAAACATATATTTCCCTTGACACAGCTGAGGACTGTGTCCTCTCATTCTGTCAGTTGTTGTCTGGAGAGAGAGACTAACCTCCACTTGACTACACCCACCTTTCAGGAAGTTGTAGAGAGTGATAAGGTCACCTCTAAGTCTCCTTCTCTCCAGGCTAAACAACCCCAGCTCGCTCAGTTACTCCTAACAGGGCTTGTGTTCCAAGCCCCTCACCAGCCTTGTTGCCCTCCTCTGTCATCGTTAGGTCGGATGTGATATACACAGGTGATTAGGGTCCAAGAAGAAAAATCTTTTTTATTCTGCGTGTTCTCCAGCTTATATACTCTTAACAAAGCGTGATCTTCAGCCATTAACTACATCACAATAACTTCTTACATTCATTGGTGCAAAGCAATTAGCATCAATATGATTGGTGAAAGTTTTACAGAAATTTAATAAGGCATGTATACACATCTACTTATGCACATAGTCTAGCTTACAAAAATTTTCATGTATCTTTTCTGCGGAAGAATGGCTGGATGAACAGGGGCATGGGTCTCTGGAAGTGTTGTACAAGCAAACCCCAGGTTAGCTTACCATGAGTAGGCTTCACTTGACATAACTAGGCCTTACGCCATGATAACGAGATTGCAAATTATGCTGCATCATGCTGACAAGGTTGAAAGAGCAAGGACAGTAGCAAAAAAAAGGAAGAAAAGAGGTTTTGCAATATAAAAATAGAGAAGTAAAAGCGACAAGAATGAGGAAGAACCCTGTGTTAGAAACCACAAAGTAGGAGTGTGTAAAAATAACCTTTTGCTTTAAACCAATGAACTAACAACAAGTATGAGCAATTATTGATGAGTATGAATAATTACTGAAAACAT